ACTCTAGCCTTTGTAAATTTAGAGAAGATGATTTTTTAAGTTATTACTATATACATGTAAGGAAAACTATGGCCCCCGGGCGGGGCTAATTTTGACACTAGAGGCAAAATTTGAACAACTTTGGTAGAGTACCTATAGATGATATCATTTAACAAATATTAAAGCTCTAAGCCTTGTACCTTCAGACAATAAGATTTTTTTACTATATGTATATATTGAAAATCAATGACCCCCGTGGCGGGAACAATTTTGACCCAGGGCTATAATTTTGAACAATCTTGCTAGAAGTTCACTTCACAAAGTTTCATTTAAAATATCTAACCTCTAGCATTTTGTCAATTGCTAGAAGAATTTTTTTTTTACTATATACATATAAGGAAAAAAAACAATGACCCACGGGGCGGGCCAATTTTGACCCCAGGGCTATAATTTGAACAATCTGGGTGGAGATCTACCAGACAATGCCTTATGCGAAATATCTAAGCTCTAGGCCTTTTGGGTCTTTACAAGAAGGTATTTTATGTTTTTACTATATGTACATATTATAGTGAAAATCAATGACCCCCGGGGCGGGGCCAATTTTGACCCCAGGGCTATAATTTGAACAATCTTGTTAGAGGTCTAACAGACAATGCCTTATGCAAAATATCTAAGCTCTAGGCCTTTTGGGTCTTTACAAGAAGATTTTTTAAATTTATTCTTATAATTCCTTTTGGTTGCCATGGCAACCAGATTTCTGCATGGAATGAAATTCTTTGAACAACTTTGGAAGCCCTTCACCCAAGGATCAATCCTGCCAAGTTTGGTTGAAATTGGACTAGTGGTTTTTCACAAGAAGTTTTTTAAGTTTCACTATATAATCTATATAACACACACACACACAAACAAACACACACACAGGTGAATCGCTATATGCCACCGCATCGCAGATGCTGCGGTGGCATAAAAAACAAAACAACAACAACATTTCAGTTAGACACAAAATGAATTTCGACCTTATAGAATGACATTGAGTCTGCGCAGTAGAAGCATGTCTTTTGCAAACTGACTTGTTGAGGTGAACATGTAAGTTTGAAGGATTTTTAGGGCAGACAAAAAAATTTCTGATATTTGACCCTCAAGGGAGATCTTTAACTTGAGCGGCCTCAGCTGTAGCATGAATTCTGCACATTGCCTTGTCGACATGAATAATATCTGAGAGCCATGTTAGATGAAAATTTATCAGAGCTGACACAAAATTGTCTCATATTTGATCTTTGACATTCAAAGGTGACCTTGACCTTAAGCTGGCACAACAGTGTCATGGTCTGCACATGAACGTTTGTGGTAAGTTTGCAAATCCTTCAAGAGGTATTATCAAGTAGATAGGATGGAGATGGATGGAGCAAATGCGTGACGTTCAAGTCCAACCATCCTTAAAGCTCATCAAAATAATAATAATTATACCACTTTCCATGTCATATCTAAATAAAACCTGTTTACATAACTATATCTATCTAGCCTCAAATATTATTCAAATAAATACGCCCTTTCAAACAGAAAGGAAACCAGTATCATAAAAAGTTCCATAACCTATACATAAAATTCATATGTTAAACCATATCCTCTTGTTGTAGTTGTAAATGAGACCAATGTTTTAAAGGTCTCAAAATCACAATCAAAACTATAAATGTCAGATGAAGATACATTAATAAATATTTCACTTGAAAACCTCTTTTTTGATAGTTTTATAAGACATGGATAAAGGTAGGTGATATATCATATAAAACTAATGAATTATTAAGACCTTTAAAGTAAAGGTTACACAAAGATGATAAAAAATATTAATAACAGCCAATTCAAGTATGTAAAAAATCATAGTCTGTCAGCAAAAACCAAATAACTGCAGCTGCCTGTTACAAGACAGAACATTCCTCTTTTCTACACCTTTGTTATCGGCAAAAAATGCATCAATGGCCTGCATAATAACCGGAACACAAAATAATTCCCCCATATAACATGTACAATAAAAAATACTTCTAATATAACCTGTACAAGAAATAATACCCCTCGTATAACCTGTATAAGCAATAATACCCCTCATATAACATGCACAAGCAATAATACCCCTCATATAGCATGTACAAACAATAATTCCCCTCATATAAAATGTACAAACTATGATACCCCAATATAACCGGTATAAGCAACAATACCCTCATGTAGCCCATACAAGCAATAATACTTCTCATATATTCAGTACAAGCAATAATACCCCTCATATAGCACAATGCAATAAATCACCAATTAAAACCTATATATCCTATTATACTAATCATATAACATGTACTATCAATATAACCCTATCATAATTGCATGTTTGTGCCTAGTGGCTTAGGTAATATATAAAAAATTCATTTATAGGGCCATATAACCTGTCAAAAATGACTTCTTTTCAAACTCAAACTTAGTAACTAATAACATGCTAGCATGAATAAACGCTAAATACATCAGCTAGCAATGCAACCCAAGCTATTAGACCACTAATATATCCTTTGCTAGCAATAAAATCACTAACATAACCTGTGATAGAAATAAAACCACTAATAAAATCAGTACTAGCAATATTAACCCTCACATAATCTATTTCAGTACAACTCCTTACATTAACTGTTCTACAACAAATCCAATTATATAACTTGTACTTCCAATAAAACCTCTAATAAAAAAATAACCTAATAAATGCCTTCCATATTATTATCCAGTTCTAACTCCTGAACATCACCTGCAACAAATGTTCTTACAATAAAATCCCTATTACAACATGTACTAGTAATAGACCCATAATATAATATGAACTAGCAACAAAACACCTTATATAATCTGTACTAACAATAAAATCCCTTTGATATTCTGCACATGAAATTAAAGGTGTAATATAGCCTATATAATTATTAGCAATAAAATGTTTACCTTCCTGTGCCTCTGCTGTACACTGATTAATGTAAGCATCTAACACACGAGAATCTGTATCTGTAGCATTCTCTGTATTGTCTGTCAGCTTAGGTACCAACTCAGTCTAAAATTAGAAACAAATTTGCATATCATTCCCAATTAATGTTACGATGACAAAGTCATCAACTTGCCAATATAGGTTCATCAAATATATATAAACACATAAAGTACATTAAGGGGAGATAAATGGGAACAAGAGTGCCATTTCATCAAAAAATTGGCTGTTACAAACACTCAGTGTCATAAAAATGAACATTTTACGTGAAAACCCAACAATTCATGATGATAAAATGATCAGTACACACATTTTTATTTTCTAATATGACCTTTACCTTAATTGGCCATAGGGACCTCAATTTGTTGCACAACACTATGCCTCACATTTTTTAATATTCCTGACCTTTCACCTCTAAGTATGACCTTGACCTTTGCCACAGGTACCTGAATTTTGCATGTGACACAACAACCCACACTGGTGGACATTTATTCCAAATTATATTAAAATCTCTCCATGCATGCAGAAGTATTTCTTTGACCCTGACCTTTGACAAAGAGACCTACTTTATTTAACAACAACATGTCTCATGGTGATGACCATTTCTATCAAGTACAATGTATATTCTAAAATCCATCCCTGAATTATGCAGACAATACTCAGTCTCATGACTGTGAACATGTTTGATATAATCCCCTAAATCAAGATAAAATTGTACATAAACACATTATCATATCTTTACTGATCTTTGACATTTATGTGTGATCTTGACCTTAGCCACATTTTGTTTTATTGTGGTGAATATTTGTATCCAGTAATACCTAAATCCCTCTAGGCATGCAAGTGATAATGCTTTGGACAACACTAGATGCCACCAGCCCGACAGGGGCAATCTCACTTTACATCTTATTTCACTTCAAACAAACTTATAAAGATAAATTCCTAAGGTGAACATGCCAAAATGATAACCTTTATACTGTGCTTAGTGCATATAGTTTGGAGCCATTGTTATAGATAAAACTTAAAATATATCCAACTTGCCAGAATAGGTTAATCAAATAATTTCTTACTTTCAAAATTATAAACAGGGAAAAACTAAATAGATGCTACATTAATGTAAGTTGCCAAGACCATGTATATTGTAATAATAAGTGTGTATAGTATAAAGTACTTCAGACAGGTATCACCATGACAGACTTAACCTGTCCATGATTGAGTGCAGAGCATATTGACCAGACATCAAAAATAGATTACAAATATTGAAAATGCACAAATGTAGCAATAATTACTTATAATTTCCTGTCTAAAATTCACTTTCTTACCAGTTCAAATTACTTCAGTAAAATGAATGTTCTCTACCTACATGTTTATAAATGCCCATTGCATGATTTTTTTCTGAATATTTTTTGTCATCACTGCTATGAAATATGTCCAATATGTAAAGACGGAAGTTTTAGACATGAACACCTGCTTCTGTGTATGTTTTGGGTGAATTTATATCATTTCTAAAATTCATAATTTCCAGACATTTAATAAATTAGTCAAAATTATCTCCTTTTTTTTCTAATGTGTTTCTATTATTGATGGACAGAAAAATCCTGACCATTTATCAGTATTATTTTTATCGACAGATCTAAGCCAGATCAGCTTAGCCATATCTAGTTCAAAGTGCAAAATAACCAGTTAAATTTGAGGCTACAGTTACGTTATTTGCCAAGATCATGGACTTGGGTGCATGATGGTGAACAATGTGCAAAGTTTCAAAGACATATATCAATGCACTTTAAAAATATTTGAGGTGGTACACAAACTTTAACATTAGTGGTTATGCGGACACCAATGCTAGGGTGACTAGGATAGCTCTACTTATTCTTAATCAATAGTCAAGCTAAAAAGGATACTTAGTTGGCTTCTCTACTGTTCTTCCTCATTGTTCTTTGAGCTATATGAAACTATTTTAATATTTGCCCAGGGACAAAAAAAGAAAAAAGTAAATAAATTGATTATTCTAGGAATTTACCTTGACATAATTAAAAATGCCACCTGCTGTACGTAAACATTTGTGAACTTCTTTAGCTTCCTCCATATCTACCCTGAAATAATATAACCTATATGTTACAGCAGTCAAAATATATAATACAAGTTGAATTTATCAAAGCTATAGTAACATCTTAAAATGGGAAGACGGACAAACCCCACACTTCAAAACCCCACAACTTAAAATCTTATAGTGGACAAAACCCCACAGATGAATTTTATTGAGTGGACAAAACACCACACCTTTGTTAATATAGAACGATCAAGACTTAGATTTTAACATGCTGATAAACACACAAAAAGAAATGGAAATACAGGTATGATCAGTTACAATCAGCACTGATGTAATTGTTTTCATACCTTAATGTAAGGAGCAGTGATCACTTCGAACAAACACAAAAATATCACAACAATACAAAAGCAACAGTACACATTTTATTCTATGATTGACTTAATTTTCAATTATGTCTGGTACATAATATAAATGCTATAATACTGTATGTCCCAAGTTATGTTAAATAACTTCGTATCTAAAATATATATATGATTACTTGTCAATGTAACTTCCTTTAAATAGAATTAATTTATAAAAATATTTCGAAAGTTGAACAAATAATTGATTTCAGATAAATCATCTTCTTCCTGGAATTTATCCCGCCTTCTGTGAACTACAACAACTGGTGAAATATAGATTGACTTACTCATCTTTAGCAGCCCATTTAGCCGAATGTTTGGTGTACCATAATGCCACGTTCACAGCCATTGATGCAAGCTCAAATACAGCATCTTGTTTTTCTCTGAAGTTAAAATAGTTCATAAAGCAGTGTAAACAAAAGGTATATTCTTCAGGATAGGTTCCATGAAAAAAGCATTGAATTCTGTAAGACAGCATCTCTGTGACATCTTAATACCAATACTGTATATAGTTGAAACTCTGAAAACCAGACCCTGCTTGGACTCGACTACAAGTTTGGTTGTCAGAGGATTCCAGTTTTTAGAGGTTTTACACATTTATTGATCATTATGATGTGTTTGTACATTGACTTTGTTGAAATCCTTCAACCCTTTTGTCTTAGTCAAACTTTAATTTCTTTTTGCCATGAATGTCTTGTGTAATTTTGTTCTGCCAATTCTTAATAGAATTCAGAAAATTAGAATTAAAACAACACCTTACAGTATCTGAAGTAGAACTTTTTTATTGGCAAATGAGTGAATATTTGTATCATATAAAAATTTCATATCCATTTTTATGCCAATAATCTTTCATTACAAAATAAATTCATTTTCTCTATTCTGGCAAAATTGATTAGGTGGCAATGAATATCAAATCATTTAATTCAATCAACAAAAATGTGGTTCAAATTATTATCTGAAAAAAAAATTCTACATACATTTCATTTTGTATAGAAAAAAAAACATACAATAACTCTCAAAATGTATAAAATAATAATACATACATAGGTGTGTTTCCAAGTAATGTGTTGGTCCATCGAAATTTTACTGCAGTCCTGAGTTTATTTTCTGTTTCACCTTCCTCAAATGGTCTGACAAGTCCAATTAACAATGAGAAATAATCATTGGCAGTCTTTTCAAGAGTTCCTTTGTCATGGTTTGGATCTGTTAGTAGTTCCAGTAGTTTGTTTCTGTGTATTCTCATATCACTTCAAGCAAAAGAGAAAAAATATATATAAATGGATGGCATATACATGTGATTCAGTTTTAAAATTAAATTATTTTGCTTTCTCCACTTACAAATTTATGGATTTATGTTTTATCACATTATTTAAACCATTTGAATCTGGGACATAATATGATGGTTCAATTGGAAACTAGCGTTGCATTATCTTTCATCAATCAGGTGCATATGCCCCCATTTTATCATGATATGCCAAATTCCAATCTAAGAGTAAATGGGGATTGGTCAGTTAAAATTAAAATAATTTTATATTTTGTCATATTTGTTTTCAATTTTATAATAAACATAACCTGAGTAATCATGCAATAACCCCACTGACCCACATAAATACCTATAAAATCCTTCGAAAAATATTGATAATGTTCAATTGATAAAAAGAATGGAGCAGTCTTTTTATATTATATAGGCAGTTTTTATGTTTTATTGTTCAGAATTATTGTTCAGTCGACTATAGAATACAGTAAATATAGAAAATGTTCAATAAGGATCGAGCCTATTAGTCCTTTTTTTAAACTTAAACACCTCATTCGAAAAATTCTTTAAGATATCTGTGCCTAATTTAAAGGTGGGTTATTCATTAATTAACTTATAAGCCTCACATCCTCACTCATCCATTTTCAGCATAAATAAACCTGGGACAAAAAAATATCTTGTCCCAAAAAATACAAAGAAACATAATTCATAAATGATTCATGAGCATGTGATACAAGTTAAGATTAACATGTCCTATAATTTCCACAACCTGATCATTTAATAATTCAGTAACAATTTCAACATATAAAATCTAAGTCAAATAATATACTGAATAAAGAATATTTCAACAATTGCCCTTTTTTTTTAAGAAAAAAAAATCCTTAAATCAGAAATCAAATGGTGATTTTGAAATGGGTTTACCAAGTTCAATTATAAACCCGTCTACAGAAGTTTTGTGTGATATATATGATTTAAGATAATAAACCTGAATATTTTCCTTGTGGCTTCATTCGTTGATACACCAGCAAGCTCGAATGTTACTGGCGAAGTTGCTTTTAAGGGGTTTCTGTGAAACCAGTACGCCATTTTCTCTTGTTGACATACAATCCAAGGGAGACTACTCGACAAAAAGTAAAATGTTTCAGGTCAATAATTTAAAGGGGAACTATATTTTCAATTGATGTCTGACTGGCATAGTAGCCTACTTTTCATGTTTTAAGCATTATGCTGTCTTTGATTAACCTATCTTATCTTATCTTATTATCTTAGATTATCTTATCTTATATTCATTCATTCATTGATTCATTCATTGATTCATTCATTGATTGATTCATTCATTCATTCATTCATTCATTCATTCATTCATTCATTCATTCATTCATTCATTCATTCATTCATTCATTCATTCATTCATTCATTCATTCAAATCAATTCAAATCAATTCAATCATTGATGCAAGCTAACAAATTGTGCGCTTGAGTGCTCTTTATTATATTCAATCATAAACGATGGTCGCCCGTTAAGGCCCCCACGGTTACTGTACAGTACTGTACACCTTTTTGTTTTGATTTTCAGTTGTAAACGTTTACAATACAGTAAATTTTACAGTTTAATTGAAATGACCATATTGTCTTACAAAATATCTTAATCATTGCCTGTAATCATGAATTCTATCAATTGTAATTGGTTTATTCCAAATTAAAATACGGAATAGGCCTACTGTATAGGTACAGTAGATCTTATTTACAACCCTCCACACAGCATTTCCCGTGAGTCGTGACATAATACATTTTTTGGTAAAGTTGATTTTCATTTGATCTTTACAACAAAGAAAACCCAAAAACAATTTTACTGTACAGTACATATATTTATAATATTTAAAGAATTATAGCCGTGGAAATATATATATATAGCCTCGCTATATGTATCGTCAACCACAACTTTCCTTGATCTTTGCACGTGAATCACTACCCCTTTAACTACCGGATGTCACGTGGTACATTACATCATTCAACGATATTTTGTTACAGTACACATTTTGACAAATAAATTGGTAACGTATGGGTTCGTTTTCTTTGAATCATATTTAACTATTTGCAGTGCATTTGTTTTGCCATTTCTTTCCATAATTTTATCAATTTACAGTTGAAATAAGAGAGATTCTCAAATGGCATTGGTTTTCGCGACCAATTACTTTTTTAGTTTGAAATATTCAGACTTCATTTACATGTATAAAGCAGGTTATATGGAACCTGGTTATTATGGTTTAAATAGTAAAACACATTTCAAAGTAAAATGTTTGTGTCTGACAGAAAAAATCTTTCGAAGTTACTTTTATAATTTTTGCATTCAGTAAGAGCAGTACAAACTACAACCCAATAAGATATGTAGATTTGGTAGATCTTTCCTTACATTAGCATTGGTACGCAAATAATTTGTTAGGCATGGAGGAGCACTTGACCTGTTTTCATGAAGGAGCATATGATCTGTAAACTGTACATGATTTGTTAATCAACGCTGTAAAGTTTGTTTATTAAATAAACTGGTAATCTATACTTAAAAATGCAGGATCACCTTACGCACATATGGTAGTTGCAAATGGGTATATGAAAGAAGTGCAATAAGAAAAATAATTGAATGTAAACATGAAAACATTATTGTAGTCTGTATCATAAAGACATGAATTTGAAAAACAAATTTCAAACGTTTTGATGAAACAGACAGGTGAGTGACCTACTTATCAACACTCTCTGGTCCTCGACGGTCTCAAAAGACGTTCGTCACTTATATTCTCAATTCAAACGTTTTTGAAAACAGTTAAATGAAATATCTAGAATTAGAAGCTGTTAAATATAACTTGATTTATCAGTGGTGATGGTGATGATGGTGACTATAGACACACCTTGTTTAATTCCTGACCAGTAGCGGTTGCATAATCTGTATAGTGTATTCATTAGTCACATGATCTGTAATGGTTCCGCATCCTTGGTGTCCAATATACAATAGCTTCTAATTACACTGACTTAACATATTGTTAACATAACTGGTAATTAACTACCTTTTGACAGACAGTCAATTCCGGGACCTCTCTATGTTTAATACGATCCTGGCTTTTCTGAATATGATACGGTAGTGGCAGATCAGAGCGTAATACCCATCCCCTATCAAAATTAATTGGATATTAGTATTTAAAATTTTCTCTTCAGTATTGATGTAATTTTTACCAAGTGAACCTGAGAAAATTGTCTTTCTGATTTATATTAACCTCTAATCCACACATTAGTCAAAGTTTCAGTTTTTGACCCCTGATGTACAAATCTTATGTCAGTCTTCTACTTTGATTAAAGCATGCTACCAAGGGAACTGTATCATTTACAATATCCGTAATAAATGCTACTTTGAAATTAGATAAGAGTTACTTCTAGATTTTTTCTTTTGCCAAAATGTTCAAGTGTTAACTGGGACATAAAATAACAACATACTTTGTCCAAGGTTTTACTTACTTAGTCCTCTTCGTGCTGGAAGCACATAAGGCCTTGAGGTTTTAATCACTTTAATAAATGTATGATGTTATTATGTTTTTGATATTGGACTTCAATGGTTGTGCCATAATTTGATACTATCGACTATAAATTGATTGATTGGAATGAATCACTGCATCAACCTTTTACTTGATGCAGATGCAATAAAGTACCAAATGAAAATGACGTAAAATTAACGAAAATGTTGAATCTATTCGGGTCACTCATTTAGCTAACTTTAAACCAGAAGTTTTGTTTTCAATAATGACTAGAATCTGTCATGCCCTTTTGCATAAGTATAAGTCCAATATGCAGTTTGATAAAATTGAATTCGGTCATTTATAGAAACAATTGATTTGTTGTACACTGAGATTTTAATTTATTTGTTGAGTAAATGGGCAATTTTTATTGAGTTCTTACGCAAATACACAGCTTATCTAGAGGCTGAGCTCTGTTCATATAAACATAATATATTTTTTACAATAACTCAAGAAACAGAATGATATTAAGTTCAATGAACAAAAGTTGAACTCGAAAGTAGCAAATTTGCTTTTACCTGTTTTCACCCTAGAGATGCTATTGTTAGCAGTTTAACATGTAGTGTTGCAGCCAACTTGCAAAGTCTCTTGTTTATCAATAAGGGAGACTAGAGTATGCACCTGACAGATACTAACTGTTAGTATCTGCTGATGTTAAACATCATATTGTTTTATTCTGTTATAAATACCATTTAACAGTACTAGGGAGTAAAAATTATTCTTAAGAAGAATGCTTTGTTCGTTATATTCAATATTCATCAGATTTATTCACAAATGTAATTTGTATTGTGATGTGGAAAATATGTACAATATAAGCTTTAGTGATTTGGAAACAGAATCATCACTTTCTATTCAAAAGACAGTGATGTGCACATGTGTGAAATAATTATATGGTACACCTGTTGCATTATGACTATAAACTGTAAAGTTGCTGATATACATGTCTTGATATTTTCCATGTATTTTATTCAGGTATGTCAGATGGGCTGAAAATGTACATTATAGCAGTGTTGATGTTGTTTGGGATTTGCCAAACATGTATGGCAGGGAAGTGTAATGACAATGAATTCTTTGACGAGATAGCAAGTGTTTGTAAGACATGCTCCGAATGTCCGGATCAACTGCAGAGCAGAACTTGTAGTGAGTTTAGTGACACTGTATGCGGTCTCCAAATTAAATTTTCCTTCTTGGATTCCCAAAGCTCAGGTAAAGAAGATGAAAGAGACATGGAAGCACCGACTGTTTTACAATCTGATGAGGAAGAAAGGTATTGGAAGAGTCTTGCGTTTGCTTTGATAGCTGTATTGAGTGTGCTGGTCATTCTGACAACCATTGTAGTGATTATCACATGTCATCGTGTCCGCAGCTATACCTCACTATGTAAGGGCGTCGCACAAGATCAAGGTATAAAATTATAAGTATAATTTGTTCATTATACTGAATTCAAACATAGTTTGTTTTGTGTTATTTTAGCTCTCCAGAGCTCAATGTGAGCTATTGTCATTACTCAATGTCCACCTTCTGTCCGTGACCGACCGACTGAAATGCAATAGGGGGCTGTCTAACTGTAAACAGAACAAAAGAGATCATTGTATAACAATAGATGAAAGGGCCAATGTCACTCTATTGAACAGAAATTGAAATAAAAGAAAATAACAAAAGAGATGGCCCCTTATTCCATTTCTTTAAACAACATCTCTATCGAAACCAGTAGGTCAATAATTAAGGTTTCTGAACCTATAATGTTTGGATGAAACTAAAAGTGACATTGTTAACACAGACTAGCTTAATTAATTTTACAATAAATAAAATTGGTAAAAAAAAATTAGAAAATACATGTCAAGGCCAAAATAATGTGCTTTAAATATGTTCTGAAAGAAACATTGTTTAATTACTGACATTACATGTATGAATATTTCTGTTTTTTAGAAGATGCAGAAAGTGGGTATGTTATCATCCACAGATTTATACCACCATCTGTCAGCTCATCACCTGAAGGAGATAACGCCCAAAACACGGCTGAAACACACCCATTCATCTCATACCAGCGTAGAAATTCAAGGTAGTTTATATAGCTGCCTATAACATCTGACCTAGTGAGAGTATATAAACAGGCTTCAAAACTTGGAGCATGAACTTCAGCGTTTCAAATTTTATTGGTCTGCTATCTTTATGTAAAAAATATTAAATTATAATTGAACCAAAGTTTTGATTAGGGAATATATCTTGATTTTGAGTGAATTGTGGTATAATTATATAAGATAGCATGAAGTTAAGCTGTACAGTGTCATAATCACATAGGCTTTGGTGATTAATTACAACATACTGTGCAATATCATACCATAAAGCAGTCAAATTTCAGATACATTTTAATTCTAACATGTGATTTGAAAGGGAAGGAACACCGTTTTAGAGTCTATTCTATTCCAATTTGTTTTTCTTATAAGTATATAGTAAAAACTGAAACAATTTTTGATTCAGCAAATAGATACATCTGCATATAGTCTTCCATTTGACATGCTGAAATTTGACAAGACACTTATTATCACAAGTTCAGTGGTATGGAAACATAAAAGAAAATTCTTCTGATCCAACTATATCATGTGTAATGCAGTGACATTGCATTTTTGCAAATCTTGTTTTAATCTGCTTTTGTGATTTGGTCATTTTAAACTGTAAAAACTGTCTAATCATTATTTACATAAATATTTTTGTTATAATTACAGTTAAACTTCGTTCGCTCGAACTCGGATAGCTCGAATACCTCCCTTCGCTTGAACTCATCGCCCAGTCCCGGCAAAATTCCTATATAATATATATTGTTCTACCCCGGATCGCTCGAACTCTCGAACCTGATCTCTGGTCCCACCGGCAGATATATAGTGAAAATCACACCTTTTCGGTCGAACACAAAAAGACAAGTCGACATGTCCTAAATAAATGACAGTCGGCGACACATGTTTTTAACACCTCGTGATTATGACAAAGGCAATTAAGGTTAATTGATACAAAATAAGAGTTGTTGTAACCAATTTGTTTGTTACAATAATATTGTTTATTTGCCGTTTATGGTAACGATAGAAAGAAAAGAACTTGTGAAATAAGTGAAATATGCAAACGTCAATAAAGAATGACGCTTATACGGACGGCTTTAATTACAACCGCAGTTCATGTAACGTGAATTGTAATAGTGTTATGTATTTATAGAATGATACTTGTACGTGTGTTTATTTAAGTAAATGACTACAAATAATTGGTGTTGTAAAACTTTTTCTTAAATATTTCATTAATTTATTTTTTCAAAATTAAAAAAAATCCCATTATAAACATATAAATATATTTTGAACATTGTTCAACAAGTTTGGTCTGATTGCCCAATCGAACTTAGTCCTTTATTGAAAGACATCGCATTTTTTTTTTTTTTTACAGTTTGACGTTTATCGGAAAATGCGGATTTGACCCATGTAAAAAATAGCTTCAAATCCGCGGTTACGTCTAAATATTTGGACTAAATCGAACTCAACCAATTACAAGATGCATGAATATAGATTAACACAACATACCGTTTATACTTAATTGAAAACACTGGGATAATAATTCTGAATATTCGACGAGCAAATGTACTAACAAACAATTATATTTACGTATTTATCATTCGACCAATGTATGCTATAAACCTTTAGGCATATGATATTCGACCTCGGTTGGCTCGAACTACCGATCTCTCGAACAAATTTGCACAGGCCCTTCGAGTTCGAGCGAACGAAGTTGGACTGTATGATGTAAGAGGTTTTGTTTCTCTATACAACTACTGTATATTTCTTCATTAATGAACATAACTGATTTGATATATCTTTTCTATAGAAATGGTGCATACAGACCTAAGAGAAGGATGATGAATGAATACGTAGATGATGTGTTTGAGAGTGATGACAGTGGTGGTTCACGAACACTCCGGTTACCCCTGGCAACAATACCAGAGAAGTCGGACTCAGACAGTCCCGAAACTCCTAACAGCCCCATCAGTCCAAAAAGTTGAACATCTTCATAATGAGAAAATTGATGTGGAGGTTTTTTTTGCAGCGATGTTTTGTGATTCATGTAAAAGTATTACATATTTTTATAACTATAAGTGGTACAGTGCTGTTAAGCATATTATAAACTGTATTAGCTTTGCCAAAATTTATTTATATATAAATGGTAAAATCAAAATTTGTAATTAATGACATAAATAAGATTATAACTTTAGTGCTTTAGATGTTATAAAAGCAAGGTAGTAATGTTCTACTCATTAACTATTTATATGTAAACAAAACTCATTATACATGTACCATAGTGAGATTTGGTTGATATTATGGCCATTATTGCATAAAGAAAATTTAAGTACAACTTGCCATTGAAGGTCCTTCTAATATATGTGCTTTATCATGTTGAATGGTTGTACAATAATTACATATTTTTTTACAGAAATGTCTTATTATTTTATTTCTGTATGAAGGATGCAGTTTTAAGATAAATTGAGTATCGAAGGGTTAAATTATACTTATTAACTTGTGCATCATTCTGGTATACTGTTCTTTAAGCTCGTCTGGTATTGACGTAAAGTTATCAAACATAACTTCTAGTTTTACTAGATTCATTCAGTGATTTATATAAAAGTAAAACTTAACTACTGTATATCTGATATATTATTAATCATATATACCACCATGACATAACTGCAGGGTACTTAAACAAGGACCTATATATACATGTGCTTGTCATATAATGTTTCCACAAGCTAAATAACCTTTAATCTTACTGTGTGAAACATTTACAATGTTCCTATAATAAATAAATGATTAAATAGATTCCTATGATACTTGTACTTGATTTTGTAACAGTGTAAATTGTTGGGGATTTTCATTTCAAATAAACCAAATTTGTTGTATTGGCAAGTAGCAATATGACAGTTTTAAAATGATATTTTTTTAGTGTGTTTAATAAGAACTACTCGTGTCAGAAGGCAGTTATCAGGGCGTTTTTTTCACTGGCTTGGGAGCAGCCTTAACATTAATTTTGAAGGGGGGGAGGGGTTATACATTATATTTGCATAAGGGGAAGAAAAAACTTTTTGTAACTTCAATTTTTGGGGAAAACTGCAAGATGTTTGGGGAGGTTGCCCTAAAACCTGCTATAGAAGGAAAATAAGCCCTGGCTATTGTTTTAGGACATTTCAATATTACAGAGTCTCTTTCATTTGATATAAATAATCTTGTTGCTCCTGTTTTTATATCGTAATTTTTACCTGTATCATTGAAGGTATCATGTGTTACAGTTTTATCCTATTTTACATTGTGCCATAAGAGTCGGAACATGGACTCACTCATTGTGTACATCTTTTATGTGAATAGTAATTTGGTTGTGTTCCGGAGTTTTTAGTTGTGCTATATACATGTGTTATATGTTGCTATTTTTAGATGTGTTCAGTCTGGAGAAGAGAAAATCATTTTTATAATGTGTTCATTGTACTCGCCATGTGTTCAGCATAATATCTTTTATTATGTACATTATAAGGACTTATACCTGTAAACAAAACCTCTAACCATTATTATATAGTAGACAAAAGTATAAAACAGAGAATTTTATCAGAAAAATAATAAACTCTGCAACTAAACTCCAGGGTAAATGAGAAGTCAATGTAAATGCTTGTAAACATAATTTAATTGATTTTTAAATTTTAATACCTTATCATTGTTTATTCATTTCATGTCAAATATTTGTATAATATTAGGAGATTATAGATTTTCAAACCATTTTAACTACTTTCCCTCTTAGATCACACTTTTAAGTTTATTTGTTCTAGTAATAAAATAAAATGTTGTTTTTGTAACTACAAATGAGCTGTGTCACAACAAAACCAACATAATGGGTGTGCGACCAGCATAGATCCAGACCAGCCTGCGCATCCGCGCAGTCTGATCAGGATCCATGCTGTTCGCTATCAGTTTCTTGACTTGTAAAAGGGTTGGAAAGCAAACAGCATGGATCCTGATCAGACTGCGCGGATGCGCAGGCTGGTCTGGATCCATGCTGGTCACAAACCCATTATGTTGGTTTTGTCGTGACACGGCTCAAATTATCTTTTTAACATCTGTTCTGTTTTTTTATTATACATATTCTGGAAACAAAAACAAAATTTTCTATCTCACAAAAAATATTTATTCTCCATTGTTCAACGATTTAAAATGTGGACAAATAAATAAATGTGAAATTTACCGTTTATCATAGAAAGGGTGTGGTACAATCTTTATTACCAGATGTGTAGGTTTAATAAAAAATACATACAGGTTATGAGAAACTTGATGTGCAAGACACATTTTTTTTATTCATACTTGTATTATTTATTGTTCATTGTGAAAAAATATGATTTCTTATTTCTTTTAAAAATCATGCTGTAACATGGATAACTGCTTGCAGTGTTATTATTTTGTTATTATGAACACATAAGTAGGAAAAAGTAAAAATTATGTAGAGATTAGCGGAATCTTGTTATTATTGAAAATTTCAGCTTTCATGAATATATCTTCTGATATACATGTACATTCATATATTGAGATGTTTATATTTTCAAATGTTGAATCTTTTCAATATCATGTTTTCTTTTTTCATATTTCTTCTTTTCTCTGTTTTGTCTCTTTTTTTTTTAGAGTGGATCTGATTTTATGTAATCTTATGTATCATTATCATCATTTGCATATAATGCTTCATTTATTTGTTCATCATCTGACTGTCCTCTACTGGTATATAAGCATTTTCATGGACAAACATGCATCATAAAATGTGAAAATCTGGCCTAGTTTGTCCGAAACTCTGGTTTCACTACATAGTCACGAATAAATCTTTCGCCTTTTACTAAAGATTTCCGTGCAGTGTCATTTGCTATGTTTTTATGATTTATAGGTGGTAAAATGTCAATGTGACAAACAACAACAGATATTCTGCCACATACATTTTATTAAAGGAATTCCACTGAGATACAAAAGCCTTAAAAAAACATAAAATTTGAATTTCTCACATATTTATGATGCGCTTAAACAATAGGAAATTCAAAAGATAATTAAGAAATATACGCAGAAATAAATTTAAATTTGTGTGAAAAACATTTTAATAACTTTTAATTTAAAAAAAAAAATATTTCTAGTCCAGTCATGTTAAAAAAACTCAGTGTAGTCCCTTTAAGGAATTTTAGAAAGGCTTACAAATCAATAGAGGACATAGTATTGCATGGCAATACTTCATTTCTTTTATTTATAATTCTTTTTCATCATAATTTACATTATTAGGATCTTAGTGTAATCCATCCAGTTTTAGTTATAATCAATATAAAGTTATCACAGATTTAAATGTTATTTGTGTTTATTATTCATCATACAGTTTACATTTTATATGTGCTAACTGTTCATCAGACAGTCAAATGAAGATATAGAGCATTTGAGTTAAACAGCAAGTTGAATGTTGGTCATACACAGGTCACCAAAAATTTTACACCATTGAAATGCATATATTATATGACAAATCATACAGTTGGATGAAAAAATACTCCCCCATCAGTGTTAAAGTGTGTAAAGCTATAACTGAAGAACTGTATTGAAAACTTTCAAGAAGTTAAAAAAAGCCAGAAATTTAAAGTGTCTCTGATATGTTACACAAAAAGGTCATACCTGAAAGTAGAAAAAACAACAACTTGCAAAATATTCTCTCTTTTTTTTTTTTTTTGAAGAAATATTCAATCTTTTGCTATAGTCACTTCATTAGTTCCTGTTGTCGTCTGAAAACTTTAACGTAAGCTATTTTATAATTTGCTGTAACTTTGTTGTTAATGTTGGGATTATCTTCTGCTTGTTGAACAAGACCTTTTAGTAGACCAAATTGATTTTGACCTTCATTTATCAATGACCTTGACTTTAAAGGTCAAATTATTATAATTCTTCATCCAATGATGTTTGACTTTGGAAATAAGAAGAAGTCAAGTGTGGCCCCCCTCTAGGGGATGGCTCTTGTTTTAGTTGATTCAGACATGCATATGCCATCTGCTTTGTAATGCATTTATAGAAATAGTTTTTCAATTTAGGTATTAAATATTTATGTATGATTTATATCAAGATACAAATATTCTTCCAGTTACATACCAAAAAAGCTTTAAAAGTCTCTTCTTTTTTGTTGTATGATAAATTGTAATTCTAACGGTTTTTAGAAAAGTTTTAAAACATTTATGATGTCCCCACATTAAAAGTGGGAAGCATACTGTTTAGGGATCGTTTGTCCATACCTCCAGCTATCTTTATCTGATCATCATCAATAACTTGATTGGGAAAAAGCTTAAGTTTGTGAAACTTTGTAGGGGCATTGGCCATTGCCAATAATTGACTTCTTTTAATTTAGAGGTTAATCAGGTCAAGGTCACAGTTAAACTTTATGTAAAATCCTTTTTCCAATGATTCACTCGCGGAGAAAAAAAATAGGCCAAAATCTGTTAAACTTGGAAAGGGCATTGTACATGGCATGTACATGACCCCTTTTGATTTTTAGGTCAAGGCCACTGTGACACTTGAAATCCTTGTATAATAAATAACAAGTTTCCTCTGTTTTAGTTTTGTAAAACTTATAAGACTATTTAATTATAAGTATTTTACTTATTAATATAACACTACCTTTTAAGAAATATGCATAACTACATGTATGTAAATATGCCATTTTGGCAGGCAAATGAAGTGAGAACATTGTCCTGTGGACTCATTTTAAGGTATTTCAACTATCATCTGAAAGAATAGTTTATCTTAACCTTTTACCCCATGAGCATATTGCGAAAAATGGCCGTTTTCATTGAAAAGCCTCCTGTAACAAGTTCAAACTGCTATGAAACTATGAAAAATGCTTCAATACTAATGAAACTTGGCACAAATGTTGACTATACCATAGCCTCTGTAACAGCATGCTCAATGGTAAATTTCCTGTTACCATGGCAACGGGGGGACGTCTCAAAATTGCCAAAAATCACTATTTTGCATTGTTTTTTTCCATCAAAACTGATTTCAAAGTGCTGCAACTTCTCAATGAATTGAGATAGAGTAAAAGGCTTTTCAGCGTTGGTTACTATTTACCCTAAGATCGACCTGAGGCCATTTTTAGCATGTCCCATGTCCAAAATTTTCTTGGCGATGAGGGGGACTCCCCCTTCAAACCCCCCAAACAGAAGGGGGCACCTCCCCCTTCTGGCAACCCCCTGATGTAATATTTGGATGGGGAATGGGGCTGAAAAAGAGGTCACTTTTTTAACAACATTTCTCAAACCAAAAACAGTGTTTGGGGTCTAAATAGGGCATTTTTTCACTGTTTGAGGCCTCAAAAAGGGGGGGGGAAGCCGTCGAAACACGCTTATATAAGGGAAAAGGTTAAAATCATCAGTTAAATATTTTTGTTGTTCTGTCTGTTCCCTACAATAAATTTGTCTGCATTATTGATCATTTCTTAAGGTGCTTTATAGTGTGTAAATGATTATAAATACATTGTTAGATCTGACTTTGTATATTATTTTTGAGTAAACATTAAGAGGCTATCATAGTTGTTTTAAATACTTTTTATAACCCTTTACAACATAGTTATACTTGAATCACCTTGTCCATACGTGGTCGTCATTTGCTATTGAAGGTAAAATATGGAATGCCGTGACTGTCTTATGCTATCAATGTTTTTGCTATCTTGTGAAATGATGATATTATTTTGTCATTTAAGCATATAAACATGTGCAATTTACATCATATCTTGTCTAAAGACAATGCTGACTTGTTCAAACAGCATGTTAACTTGTCAAATAATCATTATGACATGTGCAGACAACATGTTAACTTGTCAAAGTATCATGATGACTTGTGCAAACGACATGTTAACTTGTCAAAATATCATAATGACTTGTGCAAACGACATGTTAACTTGTCAATATTTCATGATGACATGTGCAAACAGCATGTTAACTTGTCAAATTATCGTGATGACATGCTCATAATACCTTAACAAGTTAACATGTGTTTTGCACAAGTCATTACGATTCTTTGACAAATTAACATGTTGTCTGCACAAGTCATCATGATACATTGACAAGTTAACATGGCATTTGCACAAGTCATCATGATACATTGACAAGTTAGAATGTAGTTTGCACAAGTCATCACTACGGAAGCTTGTATGTACCCCCGCTATGAAGACATGAAGTCGTCTTTCTTGACTTGTAGAACACAACAAGTCGTCAAAATAACGACGACAAGTTTATATATACAATGTCATTTTGACAAAATATATGTCATCATGTCGAGATACGGCATTCCGACTTTCATACATAAATATACTTGTCGGCTTGAAGTAACATGTATGTCGACCTCCATGTTACTTCTAGGAGACAAATGTATTAATGTATGAAAGTCGGGACGCCGTATCGCGACATCATGACCTATATTTTGTCAAATGACATGGTATATATAAACTTGTCGTCGTAATTTTGACGACTTGTGTTATATAAGTCGAGGGAGACGACTTCATGTCTTCGTAGCGGGGGTACATACAAGCTTCCATACATCACGATACCTTGACAAGTTAACATGCTGTTCGCACATGTCATCATGAAATTTGGACAAGTTAACATGTTGCTTTCACAAGTCATCATGATACTAGGACAAGTTAGCATGTTGTTTGCACATGTTATCACGATGATCTGACAAGTTAACATACTGTTTGCACATGTCATCATGAAATTTTGACAAGTTAGCATGGCATTTGCACAAGTCATCATTATACTTGGACAAGTTAACATGTCGTTTGCACAAGTCATCATGATACTTGGACAAGTTAACATGCTGTATGCACATGTCATAACGATAATTCGACAAGTTAACATGCTGTTTACACATGTCATCATTGAATTTTGACATGTTAGCATGGTATTTGCACAAGTCAGCATGATACTTTGACAAGTTAACAGTGCTTTTTGACATGTCAGCATGATACAAGATAACATGTCATTTGCACAAGTCATCACGATTCTTTGACAAGTTCACATGTTGTCTTCACAAGTCATCATGGTTATTTGACATGTTAACATGCTGTTTGCACAAGTCATCATTATACTTTGACAAGTTAACGTGGTGTTTGCACATGCCATCACGATAGTTCGACAAGTTAACATGTCCTATTCACAAGTCATCATTATACTTTGACAAGTTAACATGCTGTTTGCACATGTCATCACAATAATTTGACAAGTTCACATGAGGGTTGCACAAGTCATCATTACATTTTGACAAGTTACCATGTCATTTGCACAAGTCATTATTATACTTTGACAAGTTAATATGTTGTTTGCACAAGTCATCACGATACTTTGACAAGATAGCATGTTGTCTGCACATGTCATCATAATAGTTTGACAAGTTAACATGCTGTTTGTACAAGTCAGCATGTTCATTTGACAAGACATGATGTAAATTGCACATTTTAACATGCTCAAACGACAAAATAATATCATCGTTTCACAAGATATAGAGGATATTTGTTTAGTTCAGTGTAAGATCGGAATATATTTCACCGAGTGAGCACCAAAAGGAATAGTTCACGAGTGGCGCAGCCACGAGTGAAATATGAACTTTTGGTGTTCACAAGGTGAAATATATTTCAATCTTACACTAAACTAAACAAATTTTCTTTTTATAACATGCAAAGAAATGTTTTAAAAAGACATTTAACCTAATACTGAATGAAAAGCGCGCCAAATAATAATACAACGTGGCGTCATTTACGACGTCACGTCATTAAGTTGGTACCCAGTACTGTGCACGCTGGTATTTCACTGAAACTACGTAAGGGGCTTAAATTCAAAACATTGAAATTATCAAAGTGGTAATTTCACTGTTTCAAACAGTGAAATTACCAATTTTATATCACTGTTATATTTTTATAAACCACCGAAAAGCATGTAATAAAACAAAAACATTGATTACATAAGACAGTCACGGCGTTCCATAGTAAAACGTGTTAGAGGTATCATATTGAATGTGACATGCACTGCTCAAAAGCAAGAGTTATTGCCCTTCGAAATTTTCATATTTAGTGTTTATGGGCATGATAACTTTGACATGAAATTACCAAACGACAACTTTGACAAAGCACTGTGCTGTATAGTTTCCTAGCTAGGGCAATAGCAATCTTGCTGACATAGTTATGTGTTTTAACCTATATCCATACAGTAAAGGATTCAGGATGTACATACTGGATCTTTAAGATACTACTGCTTCTTACATTGATATTTAGTAATGAGGCTATCAATAATTATCCTTTAAATGGTTTTGTGTGCAAGTGCATATTCTATAAGACACCAGAAACTTTATGTAACATACTGTAGTACACACTCATCTTGTAAAGCAATAATTATATTATCAATAGAACAAAGCAAGCGTACATTTTGGTTTTGCCAAATTTGCTTATACTCGGAACTTTTACAATCATTTAGCACTTTTATTTTTTTTTTGTAAAACCCATGTACATGACGAGCACAAATTGTATTGAACTACAAGACTGACATTGCTCGAATTATCCAGTAAAAATCCTATATTTATATGGATTTAAGTACGACCTATAATTATGACTCAAAAGACGTAAGACGGTGGGGGTTGTCTAATAAATACTTTCACATAAATTGCAAGGTAAAAGTTCACAGACACTGTCCAAGTTCCATGTAATTCAATAAAAAATACAATCTGTAATTGGCCTTGTACAGCGGACTTAAATTATGAACTGAAATACATCTAAACGTATACTCGTATATCAAAGAAAAAAACCTGCCATTGTAATGCCGTATACTAGTAGTTCCTGCTGCTTTGATTCGACAAGGTAATAATTTGAAGAGTATTCTTCATTAATTCTGAACTAAAAGTTAGTGTCATTTTTAGCTCACCTGTCACAAAGTGACAGGGTGAGCTTTTGTGATCGCTTTTCGTCCGGCGTCCGTCCGTCGTCCGTCTGTCCGTAAACTTTTACTTTAAATGACATCTCCTCATAAACCACTCAGCCAATTTCATCCAAACTTCACAGGAATGTTCCTTTGGTGGTCACCTTTAAAAATTGTTCAAAGAATTTAATTCCATGCAGAACTCCGGTTGCCATGGCAACCGAAAGAAAAAACTTTAAATATCTTCTTTTAAAAAACCATAAGAGCTATAGCTTAGATATTTGGCATGAAACATCTTCTAGTGAGTGTCTACCAAGTTTGTTCAAATAAAAGCCCTGGGGTCAAAATTGGCCCCGCCCCAGGTGGTCATTGATTTTCCCTATATGCATATAGTAAAAACTTAAAAAATCTTCTTTTAAAGAACCCTAAGAACTAGAGCTAAGATATTTAGGATGAAGCATGTTCTAATGGGTGTCTACCAAGTTTGTTCAAATAAAAGCCCTGGGGTCAAAATTGGCCCCGCCCCTGGGGGTCATTGATTTTCCCTATATGCATATAGTAAAAACTTAAAAAATCTTCTTTTAAAGAACTCAAAGACCTATGGCTAAGATATTGAGCATCAAACATGTTCTAATAGGTGTCTACCAAGTTTGTTCAAATAAAAGCCCTGGGGTCAAAATTGGCCCCGCCCCAGGGGGTCATTGATTTTCCCTATATGCATATAGTAAAAACTTAAAAAATCTTCTTATAAAGAACCCTAGGAGTTAGAGCTAAGATATTTAGCATGAAACATGTTCTAATAAGTGTCTACCAAGTTTGTTCAAATAAAAGCCCTGGGGTCAAAATTGGCCCTGCCCCGGGGGGTCATTGATTTTCCCTATATGCATTTAGTAAAAACTTAAAAAATCTTCTTTTAAAGAACTCAAAGAGCTATGGCTAAGATATTTAGCATCAAACATGTTCTAATAGGTGTCTACCAAGTTTGTTCAAATAAAAGCCCTTCGGTCAAAATTGGCACCGCCCCAGGGGTCATTGATTTTCCTTATATGTGTATAGCAAAAACTTAAAAAATCTTCTTTGAAAAAAACCAAATAGCTAGAGTTAAGATATTAAGCATGAAACATCTTTTAGTGAGTGTCTACAAAGTTTGTTGAAATAAAAGACCTGGGGTCAAAATTGGCCCCGCCCCGGGGGTCATTGATTTTCCTTATATGTGTATAGCAAAAACTTAAAATCTTCTTTGAAAAAACCCAAATAGCTAGAGTTTAGATATTAAGCATGAAACATCTTCTAGTTAGTGTCTACAAAGTTTGTTCAAATAAAAGCCCTGGGGTCAAAATTGGCCCGGCCCCAGGGGTGTCATTGTTTTTAACTATACATGTATGTGTATAGTAAAAACTTTAAAAAAAATCTTCTTTTAAAAAGCCCAATGAGCTAGAGCTTAGATGTTTAGCATGAAACATCTTCTTATGGGTGTCTACCAAGTTTGTGCAAATAAAAGCCCTTGGGTTAAAATTGGCCCTGCAACGTTGGGGTGGGGTGGAGGGCCTATATACAGGTGAGCGACCTCAGGGCCATCATGGCCCTCTTGTTTTACATTATTTTCTGTTTATATTTTTTTATTTCAATTGGTAAAAAGTAATAGAATAGAAAATCGGCTACAATTCCACTCGGGTACCGCTCATACTGAAAGAAAGTATGGGAAAGCTGAAATAAAGATGGGTATCGTATATTTTATATATATTTATTTAACGTATCAATCTCTATAATGACATTGGGTAACGTAAGAACAAAACCAAAACAAGAACACACTGTAGTTTAATTATTCAAGAACTATATGTGAAGCAAAATTAATCCATTCCGATTGAGGTCTTACCAAAAATATATCTAATCATTTATTTTGTAAAAACAGTTATATTTCAACATAAATAAGTTTATTCATATTTATATATATTATGCTGAATTTACTATTACTATTCTATTATGCTGGACTGAGTGTCACTTTTAAACATCTGACCTGTCAACATTCTTTTCTATCAACATTGTGCTGTTTCAAATAAGTAGCGAGTACTAATTAAGCTATAATGGAACAAATAGTAGTTACGTTCTAAAAATTAAGATAGTATATCCATCTGGCGTACACACGGACGGACAGGTCTTTGAAGACGCCGCACAGGTGTTGGTTTACCATAGTTTATAGACCTGTCAGCTGGTTTGTTTTCAAGCTCATTTCGAAGTCTTTTATTAGAGATAATTATTTTTAACTTTCTCTCTTTTGCTGTCATGTTTTCAGGAAAATCTATTGCAGGGAGTGTTATTGTATCTTTTTTCGTTACACATTTTGAATTAGTTTTCTTGTTCTCTGCCAAATTATCACAACTGTTCTTACTTTTACGTACACTCTCATTTGCACCACTTAAAATCCATTCCGGCAGTTGTCTATGAAAGAAATGATAAGAAGTAAAAGTTCTGCACGGGAAATGTAGGCAGCTGTGCTGATTCACGGCAGATTCCCCGATCCAACATGGCCGGGGTTCCCAGTCGGTATTCGATCTTTCCAGAGGAAACCAGATTGTGTTTTTATCCTCATCTCGTTCTTTTTTGTCATAATACGAATTTAAATTAGTCATCCCTCTTCCATAAGACTGAAGTTTTTCTTTCAGTATACAAGACTCCGCCTCTAAAGAACGCAGACGAACGTCTCTCGTGCGCTCCAAGCGCTTAATTTGCTTCATCTGCAGTTGTGCTATTCGTTTCTCTTGGAGAAAACCTTGAATTGATTTCTCTCCAGTTTTATCTCTGAGTTTAAAGTTTCGTGACATTTTCTAAAATCCTTAATCCCGGGAAAATCACACTTTGTTAACTAAAAGCCCAAAGCATGCATGCACACACACTATTCATTATGTGAGAAAATACAGATGTGGAAATCAATTGAAATATTGTTAAAGTAGATTATGATACGAAAGTAAGGTGTTTCATTTCTTATTCTAAATAACGATAAGATATCATTTTCGAATGTCTTTTTATACAGTTGATTTATTTAAACATTCATAATCTATTGTTAATGTAAAACGACACATGTGTAAAGCAGAATCTATTTAACTTTCATTTATTGTCCGTATGTTTTAATTTTCCAAATATACAGCGGCTTTGTATTTCACAAAATCACTTCATTTAACTGACACTGGGGTTTATTAATAAAGACCTCGTTATGGCATAGTGCCTACCCCAGTCACTACTGCCTCTTTAATAAGTTAAATGTCGATTTAATCCAATTTCCATCGCATGTGTTCGCGTGTATCCGGATATTCATACTTTAAATAAGTCCATTAGAATGTCTAGGCTCGTGGTCGGGGTATCCATAGATGAGATTGATTTTCCAACAAATGTAACAATGAACGTTCTACGGCTATACAATAGCGTGCTGCTATCTGACGCTGATATTTTAATATTATATAAACATTTAACACAAAAACATTTCTTAATTTCCTTATAAATGGAAATGTTCAATTTGTTCAGTGTAAATAAAAGGCATCGATCAAATGCTGAACCTAATTTCTCTACAAGTCTATACAATCTTAATAAATAGAAACAACGTTTACTTCTTTTAAATGAATGAATGCCTAGTGAGAATTTTTATATGGAAAGCTAGTTGTGATCAATTAACTAAACATGACATTTACACTCGGGTGTATTTATTATCTCAATAGATTTGATGACACTCCTTGGTATATAAAACGAAATGGCATATGTAAAAAAAAACGCTATATAATGGAAGAAATCTCATACAATATCAGATAATATGTAAAATTGCCTTTTTCGTTTTCCCTTAATCGCTTATAGATACACATCAAAAGATACATTTGAATACAGACAAATAAGGCGCCATATTAAAGTACAGCTCATGTTTTTCTTTTATAGTATGTTGATACTAATTATATTGTCCATTGTACAAATTATCTCTTAAAATATAGGGCTGGCTATAGCGCTGGCTTCCTTTCTTTGAATATTGTTTTCCGCATATTATTGGTGTAACATTAAATTCAGAAAACGGTTAAAAATGACCAAATGGTGTGTGCAGTTCACTTTATTGATATCCAAGGTTTTGTACGTACTCTTACCACATTACTTTTCAAACTTTTTAATAATTGACACGAAACGCCCCGAGGTGGAAAAAACGGAATCTGCCTCCACAGCACTCTTAGACAGTACCATGAACATGTGTCTATTTCAGTACCGGAAACACAATAATAGTGTTATGTTCTTACAGTGCTAGGAATATGTCTCTTGATGTACCATGCAGAAACATCATGTCGCTTACAGTACCTGGAACTTATGTTTCCTACAGAACAAGGAAGAACGAATGTAGTAATCTTAACGCGGATCTTTGTAAAAATCATTTACGAGATAACTCATTTTGTAGCTACTGTTCATCCAGTATTGAAGATGACGAACATTACTTTTTAAATGTCCCAAATATAACGAAATAAGAGTGCAGTTATTCCATTCAACTCGCAGTTTCCTTTGAGCGTAAATTAAGACCCTTTTGTTTAGAAAAAGATCTCTTTCTGTTGAGAATAACTCATTTAATTTTGATAAGGTACAACTGTTTATTAAATCATCGTGTATATTTGAATCTTAACATTTTTATATTATCTATATACAATGTAAATACTACTTGCCACGTTCAATTGATTTACCTACATACTGAACACTATCCTCCTTTTTTTCTTTTCTATTTATCAGGGTCTTTCAAATTCTATTTGAATAGAATTTGAAAGACCCTGTATTTATTTAATTTTTCTTCTTCTTTCTCATTTTGCATATTTCCCTAACTGCTCTATTATCATTCAATTTGGTTTGTAACTGTCTTATTATTATTAGATAATTCCATATATCAGGTAAGAACCGTTTGCTGATGTTGTTTGAACTCGTGGTTCAACACTTTTGCTACTTTTGTGTTTATATAATGATAATATAATGTTAATTATGTGTAAAAAGAGCAATAAAATATGTTTAAATCAAAGGTTTCGTATGTTAAATTTGTACAATAAACAGTAAAAAATACATATTATGTAATTAGAATTAACATCTGTACGCCAATTAATCTTGTATCTTTTACTTGAAACTAGATAAAACTGAATGAAAGATATTGTTTAAACTTAGAACGGGTTGTCTTTGCAGTACATTGTCGTTTGTTGATATTTATCATAATAGCTACCTAGGTTTCACATCTACGTGATGCTGCTTAGCAATCAATTCTGATTATGACTAGCAGGCGATACACATAAGTTCTACGCTGTTTCTGATTATTTTATAACATCCCATGTGTCTTAAACATAAATAAAAATGGATTCCTGAAAGAAAGTCCAAAACAGAAAATGTTCCAAGCTCGGTTTGGTAAGTGCAACCTTATTAGCGCCTTAAGCAGTATCTGGGCATACGATATTTTTTATAAAGCATGTTTCTAAAGGTGGTGTCAAGTAAATTTTATTTACAAGTTCGATTCATATAACAATAAACATAAGCTCAGATGAGCTTTTTACACTTATTTAACTTGCAATATTTTCAAATTTGCCGTTTTGACGTTGTTCCTACTACTTTTTTCCAGAAAATAAGTTGTATTTTTTTGTGGGGGTACGTACACAAAGAGAGAAATTAGTGGCGTGTGACCAACTCTTACCCAGTATTTCCCCTTGAAACGGTCTTCAGATTGAAGTCATATTTAGTCTTGTGTGTCAGTCATCAAACATTTTGACCAATCAGCGCCTTTGAATCCTACACGTAAACTCCTCCCATCGCATGTCTGTATTTCGCTGTTCGTCTGCAAAAGGGAAAATAATTGATAAATTTAAAGGTAATTATTCGTTTTTGGTGGTTACAACTTCACAATTAAATTTCACTATCATTCCTCTTTACAAATATACATTAGTTGAAGAATTTCATGCTGTACTTCAAGAGAAAATCACATATTTCTGTACCCTCACCTTAACAAAATCATGAAAAAAATTATCCACAAAGCCTGACCTCGTTGTTCAATCGGAAAAGCTGACGCTGTGACATTGCCTGTAATGTTTCGAGTTGATTAGAAATAATTCTACCGAAAAATACAAATTTGTTTACAATTTGTAAATCGTTTATCTGTTTAAAGTGAAATATAAATAATTTTATTAGTGTAAGTGTGTTTGTGCTTGTAAAACTTCTTTGTTTTTCCCTCCAAAATTTAAGATGCCACTTTTACGAAGGCAGCCATTTCATCGAGAAAAACCACCACCCGATCTTAAACCAGATGAAGAAGTTTTCCATTGTAAACTTACTAGAGAAGTTTTTAGAGATTATGAGTAAGTTATTAGCTACTTTCATTTCAGTATTTCTACTTTCACTTTACATTGCTTTTGTTATGAGAATTTTGAGAATAGAAGAATAAATATTTTCTTGACACACTGGCTTTAAAGTATTATGTTCTAAATATATCCTGATTCTGAGACAGATAAATTGAAATTGAATAATTTTTATGTGTGATAATCTTTCTTGGCTCTATGATTTTAGTGTTGCATCTAGAATTTCAAAATTATGGGTAGCGCTATTATGGGGAATTGTCCCCTACAGCTGAAAAATGTGGGGGATTTGGAACAATTTTGGGGGAAATAAAATTAGGAGTATTGAAAATAATTCATTAATTTACGTTTCGGCAATTTTGACAGCAATTGTACGTCCCCTCAACAACAGAAATAGAAAAATATAGAATATTGACAATTATTTGTTAAGTGTGCAGATCTTACCGTCGATAGAACTGGATGCTCCATGTGTATAACAGTGTTTAAGTGGGCAGCACGAAATACCCAAATATTGCCTTAATATACCCAAATATTGCCCAATCATATTAAAGAATTAGATAAATGTTTAATACTAAAAAAGTGCTGTTTTAATCATTAATACAATATACACTTTCACTAAGATATAATCAGACATACCCAAATATACAATTTTTCCTATCATTGTGTTTTGAACCAAAATACAGTATATGTACTCCATTAAAGCCGTTTTTTTTTTTTAAATAACATGGACACTTGGATATGATATGAAATTTCAACAAAATTACACCTTAAAAAAGTAAGTGTAGATAACAAATATCATATCTTGATTTAAAATTGCAAGTACATTCATAAAGAACCTATATAGTACTAGCAGATAAGCAAATGTCACAACTTTATTTTCTTACAAGATCTTATCTGCCCATTTCAACGGAATGAATGAAAAGTTATAGCAGGTTAAGTCATATTTTTTATAAATATTTATCTATTTCTCATTATAATCTATATTTTATACAAACAAAAATAAATATTGCTATATTTGGGTATATTTTGGTATTTCGTGCCGCCGGTTTAAGTACTTATTTTAGCCATTTGTAGAAAAAGGTGTTAAATTTGTAGTTTTAAGATTTTTAATTGAAAACAAAAACAATTTTTTTTTTATTTATTGTTTGCTAGATAACATTTTTTCACCTGTACCTGTTCAGCAGAAGAATTTAAGTTGTCTTATCCACTAGAATTATAGTGATTTCCGGAATTAATTAATTATTCATTATGATTTTTTGTGTTATAATTCGCCAAAATTTTATAGGTTGAATTAATATTTTTTTTATTGACGCATACTTTTGGAACTTTTCTTGTAAAACATGAAGTTATACAGTGTTTTGATCTGTTATACAGAAAATTCTTTGAGAGGATTATACTATGCAACAGTCTCGTATGGTCATGTGCAGTTACTGGTAGATCAGGTTTGACCTTTCAAGAAGCAGAGGAAAGTGAAGAGAAGGCATTAAAACAACTAGCATCATTTCCTACATGTTTGCAGAAACCCATTTTGTTCCTTGCCAGCAAAACCCAGAGAAGTCGTTTAGCTGACTTAAATGATGATGTATTTGTATTTGCCAAGGACAGATTCTTTAAAGGAGAAACAGTGGATGTTATTACTGGGCCATCTAAGTATGTTGATAATATCTGACATCAGAATTTAAGTAAATGCACAATTTTATTAATTTTTAATGACAAGCATTAATGTACATACATTTATTAAGTGCATTGATTATTAATCCTCTGCTGCATAGCTGGAGGGGGTTATAGGAATGGCCCTGTCTTTTATCCGTAACATTTTCCTGTCTGTTTTAGAACTTAAAGTGCTGAAAACAACCAGGTTGCTGCCTTCAAGGTCAAACTTCAAGGTCAAATATAAATATCTACATTTCTTGTCTGCCCCAGAAGTGTACTTCTAAAAGGTTTTGAAATCACTTTGCAGGGCTTTTTTTCTTCTATAACAGGGGCCGATATAAGGCCCCTTCACAAATCAAAATTGCACTTTTTTTCACAAAGCGATGGCAAAAATTTCAAAATTCCAAAGAGATTTCACAAAATATTGGGAAATTTATCTTCGAGATACATAGTTTACCTTCCGGTAAAACTTGATTTACGCCAATTGAAATAACACAGAAATAGTTTTAACTAAGTCAAATGTTGTTTTTTTTTTTGCATGTTAACCAGGTTAAAGTACCAACTTGAAGCAGATTTTACACAGGTCAGAAATTATATTCAAGCGTTCATAGCAAACTGTTTCCAGTTTCAAAATGCAGCAGAATGCCAAATAATTTGTCTTTTATTTTCATAATTTTATGAAATGTCCCGCTCTTTTTTCCCAAAATGAACAGGCCCATTTACAATTTTGACAAAAAATGCCTTGCTTTGCACAAAGATCACCAGCCTAGGATGATGTACAGAGTGACCTTCAAGGTCAAGGCAGGCCTATTTCAGATCAAATATAAAAGTATACACAATGAATTGATGTATTGAACAGAGCGCTGAAACCAGGAAGCAATCCTGAAGAGTTACCCCATGATAACATTAAAAATATTTTAAGATCAACTTATTCACAAATGGATAATTTTTATGGGACCATGCACAGAGAAGCTCTAAAACCAGGTTGTAAAAAATCTACTGCAGCAATGATGGGAACATGACCTATACCCATAGAATTGGGGGAAAAATGCATGACTGAATTTTGCAGTGGTAAATTAAATGAATTCAAACAATCACTGTGTAGGATGGTATATTGATTTAATGAATGCAAGCAATCATTGTCTAGGATGGCTTCTTCAAACATTTAAGCGCTATAACAGTGAAGAGGCCCTTATTTTCAAAGATTTTAGAATTTTTTATTCAATATTTTTATTCTGTAACTTTAATATTGAGAATTTTTCATGGGGATTGGAAAAGTAATATACTATTTTCAGTTGGGAATATGTCCAAATATCAGCTATAAAATAAACCCCAAAAAGTACCTGGAAATAGTCGTCCTTCAGGCTGCCTTGTTTATATTCAAATGAATTACATTGACAAACTTATCCTATACTGTAAGTTGTTCCAGTTCAGAAGAGATTTTTTTAAATAGTTATTTTCTTAATCATCTTGATGGAAGAAAATCCTGATGTTATCATTGTTATGTTATCATTATTGTTGTAGGAAAGTGTCTAAAGTAATTGATGTAATTGCACCCAGTATTACATCTTTGTCACCCACCGTAAATGGAGACTCAGGAGAAGAACCAATGGACGTGGATGAGGAGAAAAAGTAAGAATGATTTAAAATTATTTATATACTTGGATGTTATCGCTGCTTGTATTTGTGAGCTCTAACATTTATGTACATTTATTAAATTAATAAATCTTATAACATTGAAAACAGTAGTATTTGAAATTACTTGAAAATGAAAACTATTTCCTTTCAGGGATCATTCTAAGGGGCGATTTCCGCGATTTCTCGCAAAAATATCACCAAAATCTCAGAAAAATTTGTGAAATGAGAGAAAATCTCGCACGGCAATTTGAGCCGGAAAATGTCTAAACACAATCTAAGGAATGCTAAAATTACACAAAAATATGATGAAAAATTCACGATTCCCATCAAGAATTTAATTTCAAATTGTTTATTAACGAAATCGATGTAAAAAACTCCAAAAAGTAGTCCAACACTTTGAATTATTTAGCCTAAAATAATTGCCGATCGGAGACCGCAAATTCACCGTACAGAAATAAGGTATGATGGCTAACCTTTATCTATCTGTAAGTCGAGAATTTACACAAAACACTTTTAATTGATTTTAATAAAAAAATTTAGACACAGACTAACATAAAAATGGACATGTCAAAAATAAATCTACCGGTAAAATTTGTCTTCTAAATGTCACATCAACCACGGTAAATTTTGCCGTAAAGAACAAATTTAAAAATTTTGTTTTACGATTCCTGATGAAATAGCCGATAATAAATGTTCTTTTATTGAACAAAAATATTTAATTTTATATAATTGCAATCAGCAACAGCTAGAATTGTGAATGTTTCAGCGGAAAACAGACAAATATTCATTTGTCACATATTTTCGCGATGTCGTGATTAAAAAAAAATTCTAAAAGGAAGCCGAGTGTTATTTAAAGGTGTTTTATAACACTAAAAATGATGTTTATGAATAAAAATTACTTTAGTTATTGTTTATATTTGTGGATATGGAGATATTTGTCATTATGTATTCAGGTATATTTTTTAATGGAGGGAGGTGTGTGAAGAGAATCATAAAGAAAACAAAATGAAAGGTTATAAAAATATTCTTCAAATCTCAACAATCACTTCTGTACAGTACAGTGTTGTCCATTAGGAACATTGACTGCAAAAATAGTTGTAGTAGATATCCATGTATAATTCTTTTATATTTCAGAATAAAGGTGTTATATTTATTTTCACAATTAGAATTTTATTATGTTTAAAAAATCACAAAAGAAAAGGCATAAGATGTGTTAAAAAAGTGAAAACAAAAATCACTGTAATAAACAGATCTACATCTTCTTATATCCTCATTAGATAAACAATGTTTATATGTACAGTGATTTTTAAAAAGTTAGAAATTTCCATATTTTTAACCTCGCCCATCATGAAAATTAAATCTCTCAAGAAAATCTAATTTCTCTCATCAAAATGTCTCAAATGAGAGAAAATCTCTCACTAAAAATCCTGACCAGGATGATCCCTGCCTTTGAACATTAACCCTTAAGGCTAGAGTAAAGAACAATATGGAGTATTAAAGTCTTGAAAAAAATTGCTGTTATATTTGACCATATGATCATCATTGTAATTTATTTCAGAACCCCAGAGAAAAAGAAAGATGGTTTGAAACCAGAGACTTTCAAGTATGTTGTTAAAGCCAATGAAAAGACTGCTGCAAGCACAGTTTCTTTCAAAATGATCAGGTAAGTGTTCTTGTAACACGTTCCAATCATTGTTGTTTGTTTAGTTAAAGCAATAAACAAAAATCCAAAAAGGAAGCCTGCTTTCCGTCAGTATGCATATGCATGAAAAATAGTTTTGGATAATGCCTTCAAAGAGATAAAAATGTATTCATGATATCCCATGAGGTCATTTAACAACTGTTAGAAAAAAAAATAAGATTGACCTCTTTGTCATGTTATTTGTTTGCTTTCTTTTTTGCAATGAAGGGAACAAGTTATTTTTATTTTTCAGTCGTAAAAAAGGCTTGCTAACCAGAGACAAGTGTAAATTGTTTCTGAAACAGAGCTGTGAAAATGAAGATGGAATGTGGAAAGTCAAGGTATATGTAATCATCAATCTTTCAAATGCTAGTTCTCATTGCTTACTTTCTCATGTAAATGTGAATTTCGTGATATTTAGCCTACTCAAATTTACACAGATCTGTAAATTGCTCCTCCAGTGACTGTAAGTTCTGTCATGTGAGGGAGCTATCCAGCTAGCTTATTGTAAGTGGGTGGCCAGTGCCTGTTCCTGTCTGTAATTATGCGTGGAGGGGCACGCACCTTTTAGCTTCCTCCACCAGAAGAGTATGACAGGCTTGGTGTGATGTTAAATTAAACAAACCATATTATTATGATCAGAATGTAAGTAAATTGGAATGAATAGGCAATAAAAGTAACCAACAATGTGTGTATAACCAAATACAAAAAATTATATGCAAATCTAATAGAATAAATGCAAATGCCAATGATCTTGTATATTCCTAAGTTCAGAATGTTTCAAGTGGACTTAGATATGCTTTATGGTAATCTCATTGTCTCATTTATTAAATGTTTACAGAAAGCAAAAGTGAAGAAGTTCCACTTGGATACTGTGAAGTTTGAGGATATTTTTAGTGGACCAATGCCTCAGTTTGAGTTCTCAGAGATCAAAGTTAAGAAGCCGCCAGCTCCTAAAAAAGAATCAAAGGAACCATCTCCAGCTCCTGCGAAAAAAAGTGTTGACAACGGTATATGTTTATGTTTTTTCTGAGAAATTAGTTTAAAGCCAAAGTCATTTAAAATAATTCTGTTTAGGAAAACAAATATAATGGTATTGAATTTGCCTTCCAGGGCTTTTTTTTCACAGGTTGGGGAAGCAGCCCAGACCTTAATTTTGGGGGGAAATTACACGATACATTTGCAAAAGGGGAAGAAAAAACTTACTGTAAATTCAATTTTTGGGGAAAACTGCATGATTTTAAAGAATTTTTCTTTGGGGAAGCAGCCCTTTACCGGCCCCTATTATAGAAGGAAAAAAGGCCCTGCCTTCATCATTACTAATTTTTATATGAAGTGTACATTTATGGTGGTTGATGAAGCTATAGATACATGTACATGAGAAAAATGTTTCTAATCTGAACAGTTGTAAAAGTATATTATGCATTTCATCCTTAACATAATGCCAGTTAATAGCTGTGCTCATTATGGATGTATATAGGTAAATAGGCCTGTTCACTGATATTGAGATGATAATTTATGAGAAGATATTTCAACAAAGACTTTATATATTGTAGCCTCTAAGAAAGCAGTTAATGCTCCTCAACTTACACTGGAAGAGCTTAAAGCATTGAGAGAACAGGATAGACTTCAAAGAGAAAAAGAGAAAGAAGAAAAACTTGCTCAGAAAATTAAAGAAAGAGAAGAACTTAGACGGAAGTTTGAAGAGGAAAAAGAAAAGAGAAAGCAAGAAAAGGCTATGGTATGATACTGCATTTCAGATAAAAATTTTTTATTATTTTCCTGCATAATAAGTATATTGTTTGATAGAGAATTCTGAGTTTTGTTTGTCTATGCTACAAGAGTTATGTGCCATGGTAACAGAATCTACAGTGTAACAAACTGGCCATGTGATTGAATAATGTGCTTTTTCATATATTGTTGATAACGTTTTGTATTTCATTTTCGCCAAGCTTTTATTAAGCAATAAAATGTACATGTATTATTGTATCATAAGGAAATGGAGAAGAAGCGTGAGGAGAAAAGAATACAAGCTGAGTTATGGAGGGAATGGAGTCGTCATAGAGATGACCTTGAATGTGATGATCTCAAGGTAACCTTCAACGCTCAATAAATGTTCATGTAGTTCAAAGTATTACAGTTTTACCTTTATGGTGCCTGTTTAAACAACAAAAATTATTGAAAAATAGAAGTATGTAAAAAATAGGGGCAAGAAATTTAAGATGGTGTATTAAGTACTTGTGTTTTTAACTATTTTTTTTTGCATATTTTGACCTTTTGATAATTTATATGGATTTAAAATTCTATTTGCAATGTGTAAAATGTTTTTTTTGTTCACTTCACAGTATTTTATTTTTAAATACATTTTCAAAATTTTCATGAAAAATGCATGAATCTGGAGGCATTCTGCTTTAATGCAGGGGGGGTCTCTAGTAGGGTTTCTACTGTATTTTCATTTATTCATTTAAGCAACTTTATGAATGTTTGATATACAGGTATTACCAGAACCAACTGCTGTACAGTGTCGCTTACCTGCAGAATATTTTGGGGATGCTGTTATGGTGGTAGAATTTGTTAACTGCTTTAGCTCAATATTTGATCTCAAAGCCAGCTTTCCTAAAGGTTTTACACTAAGTAAGTCATGATAATGTATTAATAATACAAGGGACTTATTAGATTGAGAAGTAACAGCTGACAGTCCAAAAAGCAGAAAATTCTTTAATGCAATTAAATTTATGTTCTTTTAAAGTGCCTGGTTGTGTCTTGTATTCCTTGACTGTTAATGCTAGGAGTTTTCATTGTGACATTTTGATTGTTTCTTTTAAATTTAGATCAGAAGGCATGGATAACTAAAACTTAATATTTAATCCTTGGCTTGATTTTTATCAGGCACGGACACTGATTAAATATTCTGTTCCCTATTTCGACATACTGACTTTAGTCCTGTAGTTTTACCAGTTTCGATAATTGGTTCTGTTATGTATTTTGATAATTGGATATGTTGTTTATTTTTCAGAGACGTTAAACGAAGCTTTGTTAGAAACTGATGCTGGTGGATTAATGGCTGATCTGTTGTTAATGATGTTGACAGCTGTGTTCAGTCTACAAGAAGAAGAGGAAGAAGAAGAAGCAGAGTTGACTAAAGAAGGCAAACAACAAGGTAGAATAACTCTATATAATCTCAACATCTTAAGATATGTTAGTATGCTTATTTACTTGGATATTGTTTGAAGAATGTTACTGATCTGAGCCTTGTTTATCAGCTCCAGTTTGGAGTTCTAATGCTTAGAACCTTAAACCTAGTCCTGAGTTGATAAGTTATTCACATCAACACCACAAATAGGTGATCAGTAGCCTATGAACATTGTTCATACTGTTTTGACTCTTTCACAACCACAAACAGACAAATAATAGAGTTCACTAAAACTACCTGTGAAATGAAAGTTCTCTATTTTTACCTTTTTTGTTTCGGAGAAAATGTCAAGCTATTATGATTGCTGCAGCAACCGTGGGGTTGTTAGGTTTGTCGTGCAAAAAATTCAATGTAGCACATTCATTTTTCAATGTATATTATTCATTTATCAATGTATACAACAGTAAATTTTGAACTGCTGCAGATATGGCAGAAGAGAATATAGCAGCCTCGGACATGTCTATGAACCAGTTGATAGATGTAGCTACTTCCATGTCGCATCTTCCTCTTATATCACATGGTAAGTGAATAATACATAGTACACTGTTACATACAGCTTCTGTAAATGGTCTTGAGCTGTACTACATATTTGCTTGAGAATGATATTGACCAGGGTTCACAAGTGTTGTAAAATTACTTTTAGAGTCACTAGCCCTGCAGGTTAGTAGCTGATAAATTCTAAAAGTAGGTGTTAGTTTTCTGGTTGCAAACTGCTTGTTAATACTACAAAAGCAGAAATTTTGATTCCTGATTCATTCAATGTTACGTATTAAATGTTTTAGGTGTAACTCCGGCACAATTTTGTTTTCATTATTAATATTACAAATGGGTATACAAATGTTCTACTAATGTGTTTGTGCAAATTCTGTAAATGTTTTAGTTGGGCAAAAAGAAATATAGTTCTGTTTCAGGTCTCCCGACCGACCCTCTTTATTTTTGCCTTTCCGGGTTTAAAAAAATGTTTAAACATCAAACTTAAACTAAATTGGTGATAACACAGTCACTGCTTATAATCAACAGTAATTAATACATTTATGTGACATGATATGCAGCTCCATTGGACATAGTGCCCTCTCTTTTGCCAATGTACATGAACAGCATCATAATAAATTTAGCATAATTTCCACTTTTCAATCAGCGAGTTTAAAAAGTTTACACTCTGAATCAGCTTACCATATTTGACAATAACTACACACAACATCATATTGACCTTGTAAATGTACTTGCATATTAATTAAAACACAACAGAAGCACAAGTAAATGCCTCAATACATGTATGTGTGCATCTAGCTAAAAGCGGCATTGGTGTCTTTGATGTTCTTTGAATAGCAGTTGCACAAAGTTCATTCAGATATAAGAATATTAGAAACTGTATATTAAACATATATTTGTTCTGTTCCTTGAAGTATGACCATTCAGTGTTTAATATAATACACATGTAAGATTTACCTACATACCTACCCTATCTTTTTTGGGGCTGGAGACCAGAAACAGAATTTTAACTCTTTTTTGGCCTCAGGTAAATAATGTTCCCACCTTCAGATTTGATTGTTTAATTAAATTATGAGTCTCTGTTTCTTTATATTCATTCATAGTTCCTTATTATTGAAAAAGTTTTGAAAGTGAATTAAATATATCTATTCTCTATTATGCAGGAGAAATACTGGTAAATTTTAGTATATGATTTGATTTAATGTTGATCACTGATGTAGGTACGACATTGAGAAAACTTCCCTTAGACAACTTTACTTTGACTGAGATTTTGCGTCTACACATACTGGCTTCTGGTGCTCAAGGCAACATGGCTAATGCAAAGTTTAGGTACCAGCAGAGAGGTGGTTACATGCCTATTGATGATGCAGGTCTAGACTTTAAGAAAAGGGAACCAGAAATTGTCAGCAAGTTAGCCATTGAAAACATCTATGATCTTTCACCTGGTAAGAAAATATTGATAAAACTGAAGTATTTGTTATTTATTCATATGTGAAAATAATAACCTGAAGAAAATCTAATGCCTTTTTGTGTACAGTACTGAAAGTTATGCTGTGTATTGATCCATATTTATTGATTGTATGTAATAAACACCAAGAATGACTGTTAAGAGATTAATATTCGAAATTTAAGTAACCTTCAGAGATTGGCACATACACAAAATCATTGCTAATTGGATAAAATCCCACTTTAAATAGCAGAATGATATTTTGTTCCAGAACATTTTATTCTGTATATGTACATGTACAATATTCATGTGCGTTAAATGATAGAGGTATTCTAAGTTAGAACAGTTTCAAAAATCAACAGTAAGATTTTGATTGTTTTATTTCTTGATCAATTTTATCAAAATATTTTATAAGATACAACTTTTACACTTCAACTAAATATTTGTTTGCCTAAGTTCAGCTTTTAGTATCATACTAAAGATTAGGAAAGAAATTGTATGATAAAATGTGTATTTACAGAAGAGAAACTGAAGCTGTTGACTGTGTTAGCTGACCAATTCCTTACATATGCTGCAACAAGAGATATAATAGAAGACAACTTTGACAAGTTGAGACAGTTAAAGAATGACCTGAAACAGTTACAATGGGGGGAACAGAAAAGGGAGAGAGAAGAGGCAGCTAACAGGTATCTCAAATATAACAACTTGTTATTTCCCATCAACATAATGAGGAGGGAGTTGGGCTATATTGGAATCACTTTTGTCCCATTGTCCATCTGTCACAGCTGTGTCTTCTCTGTAAATCTTATATTCAGCAAGGTGCGGTACAGAACCCATGCATTGTTTGCTCAGTCAGGGTCACACTAAAGGTCTAATGTCAGACAATTTATTGTCAGCTCTATAAATTCTATACCCCTTGTAGGAGTTTCTTCAATCTGATTAAAGTCAGCTCTAAATCACGCTTCGCTTTTACATATGAGCGTGACCATATACAAAATTATTTCTGGTGACTTTTCACACAGCCAATCATCGGCAAGCTTTCATAATTTTGAAAGCGATGTTGTTTCTTATTTTAACCCTGGGAAAACCAATACGGAGGAAGTAATATTCACAATTTCATGAACAAACATGGCATTGTCCATATAGCCGACAGGTAAACAGGCGAAGCAATCTTTCCCATTAAAAATTGACTATATTTTTTCAAATAATTTGTTAAAAATTAATTCCAACATTTTCCTTTATAACAAAAATCAACAATTTGTTTAACTTCGACGTATAACAGTATTTTGATACTTCTTCTAATGCCTATGTAAAAACTGGTTTGATTGCATGGCTAAAATAGCTTTCTCGGGGAATCCGAATTATAAAGAAGGTGAAACATATACGGTCGTCATCAGATCTTCATAAAAGAAATAAATAGATCTGAAATTTATTTAGATTGGAGTTTTTTAAAACTGATGAAATGATTGGGTACCTAAGTTTTCAGGGGAAACAAGCTCCAGTATTTAGCTTGACTATTAGAAGAATAGGGAGAGCTATTGTACACACACAGGCATCATCATCACACTTTGGTTAAGTTTTTGTGTGCAAGTTAGTATTTCTAAAACTACTGGAGGGAATGGATTGAAACTTCACTCACTAATTTGAGAGCATGATAAGTCACTGAACATAGAAAATTCTACATTACCAAGGCTCTTGTATTACTAACAAGCACTGAGAATAGTCTAGTTTACTGACCTACTGACAGCTTGTCTTACTTTTATTCCCTTGTTCAATTTAAACGAAGAGAATCTTTAAAAAAAAAATTAAAAATTAATTCAAATTGTTATATCATGTGAATGATGAATTTTTCTGTATAATGTATATCAGGTATAAAGCCAAGTTGGAGGAGAAACAACGTGAGCGAGATATCAATGAAAAGAGGAGAGTTGTGAAATTCAAGAAGAGAGAGGAGATGATAAGAAAGGATGAAGCATTAAAGTAAGTTTTCAGCATAAGTTTCCTGCAATTAATTTTTATGCCCCCACAATGTGGGAGCATATAGCGTTGCACTTGTCCGTTCGTCCGTATGTCCCGAAATCTTGTGAATGCAACTCCTCTTAAACCGGATGGCAGATTTGCTTAAACTTACAGGGATGAACAACCTTAATGTGTAGATGGTAGTAAAGGAAGGAATTTTCCCTGCGACCAAATTTTACAGAATTATGGCCCTTTGTTGATTTTTTCACTATATACTATGTAGAAATTTTGTGAATGCAACTCCTCTTAAACCGGATGGCAGATTTTGCTTAAACTTCCAGGGATGAACAACCTTAATGTGTAGATGGCAGTTAAGGAAGGAATTTTTGCTGCAACCAAATTTAACAGAATTATGGCCCTTTGTTGATTTTTTCGTTATATACTATGTAGAAATTTTGTGAATGCAACTCCTCTTAAACCGGATGGCAGATTTTGCTTAAACTTCCAGGGATGAACAACCTTAATGTGTAGATGGTAGTAAAGGAAGGAATTTTTGCTGCGACCAAATTTAACAGAATTATGGCCCTTTGTTGATTTTTAGTTTTCAACTTGTGGCACATGTAGTCCAAAAAATATTTGACCTAGAGTCATAAGATTGACTGAACAGTGGTGTGTGGGGGCATCCGTGTCCTATGGACACATTTCTAGTTACTTATGTATTTTTTATGCCTTAGGCATACAGTAATGAACCGTTAGTATGAGGTTAATAAAGTTCAGTATTGACTCCACAGTGTACAGAACCTCATATTATTGTATGGTAATTAGTGGATAATTGGTTCTATTTGTGACTTAAAATCTATTTATCTGGCAGAATTTCACTAATAGTGTGAGTGATAAGCTTTGCCAAACTTTTTGTTGGCTAAATATTAACTTGTTTAATTTTGAAAATTTGTAACTTTATAATAAAAGATTATTGATGCTAGTTATTCTTTATGACATGTATCTCGATTCAAATAACATTACTTCACTAAAATAGAAAGTTATATAAGAATGAATTACTTTTGCGTTTGCTTAGCCTTTGAATGTTTGACATCTTGATATGTGCATTTTTTTTATCGCTCTTTAATGAAAACAGTAGAAAGTCAATGGTCTTTACTTAGGAATAAATTATTTTTTAAAAATTGTTTTTCTTGAAAATGTTATATATCTTACATTTTTAATAGCCATATTTTTAGTTTTCTCACTTCTCAGTGTGATATTAACATATTCAGTGAAAACAAAGTTCTTTATGTATCAGTGGCTCTTGTCCTTTTTAAACATATAGCTTTAAAGTCTACATTTAACTTTTATAAGTTGTGTTAGGTACTAAAATAGCTGTCAAAATCCATCATTTTTGCTGTTGTCAGAAAAAAATGTGTTGTATTTTATCTTTATTTTAAAGACCATTTTCTTACAATATATTTTCTTTTCAGGAATGGAGCTGAACCTGGACAAGATTTGCTAGATCTGGCTACAGAAATTGAGGTATGATATTCACATATATTTCACAGAACAAGATAGGACTTCCTTACTAAAAGAATCAGAAGGTATTAAATTAAAAGTGGCTTGACGGCAGTGATTTTTCTCACTTAATAGGGAAGAGGCCTTAACCTCTTGATTTTAGGAAATATTATCGCTAGAATTGCTAATTTGGGAAGTAAAAAAGCAGGTTTAAGATCAGTTTTGGGAAAAGTGCATGATTTTAAAGAACTTTCAATTGGGAAGAGGGCTTTTATCGGAGTCTGTTATTATATATAAGCAGGAAGTTCACTGGTCAAGAATAGCCTGTTAACAATATGATGTACCAGTATTACTGATACTGTTATTATGACAGTATGATAAAATAGTTATTTCATTTGTTATTCAGGTAGCTGAGAAAGAGTTGGCAGAACTAGAGGCTTCTATGCCGTCCGCGGAGGAGACAGAAAAGCTGAGAACAGAGGAAGATGATGCTGAGGCTGATAAGAAGGCTGAATATATGTCCAAGGAGCGAGATTTTGTAGACAGTATACTAGATCTCCAACACGGCAATGCTGTATACCCTATAGGACGTGATAGAATGTACAGGAGGTACTGGATGTTTAAATCTATACCTGGAATCTTTGTAGAAGATGATGAACGTCATGTTGCACCTGAATTACTCAATGTTATACAACAAAATCCACTGGGGAGTACCTTTAATTTGAATGATCCTTTTACAGCTCCACCAAAGCTCAATCAAACTAAGCCTCAGGCATCAGCGGAATCCCCTGCTCCTGCTCTTACTCAGGAAAATAAAGATGGAAGTGATAAAGAAAATGACTCAATGAATGCATCTCTAAACAATAGTGCTGTAGGAGATGGTAATACTAGTCTTGGTGTTCAGTCTGCAAATACTAGTCTAGTGAATAATACAAAAGACGTTGTTGATGAAAGCAGTGCAGAAAATAAAGATGAAAATAAAGCACAGAAAGAGAATGGAAGTGCAATAGTTATAAGTGATGATGAAGACTCTAAACCTCCAATGTTAGAACTTGAACAAAAAATTGAATCACCAATTGTCATTGAAACACCAGCAGTAAAACAGATTAATGAAATTGCTAAACATAAATATAAATGGGCTTTCTATAGGAGCGAAGAAGATCTAGAAGCATTGATACTTTCTCTTAATGGCCGTGGATTTCGTGAACGTGCTCTTAAAAATGCAATTTTAGAACACAAAAGTAAAATTTTGGATAAAATTTCAAAGGTTCCTGTTGATATTTTACATATATCTGAGGAGGGCAAAAACGATGATGAAAATGGTGAAAGTACAAAGTTAATGACAATGGAATGGAAGAGAGGTCGTAGAAATGTAACTGGTATGATGCACAATGATTCAGCACATGAAGGTCTTGAACTGAATTTAAGGGAGATGATCTTAGATTTAGAGGAAAGGATACATGTTGGTACTCTAGGCCATCTAAGAGTAAGTTTGATTGCTTAATTACTTAAACTACAGATTTTATTGTGCAAAACCTTAATTTGAATTTCATTAGGCCTCAAAAATAAAATCAGTCTAGTTGTTTTTATCACTGTACATGTACAATATATACCCCAGTTTTAAAGAGGGACTAGTTGGATCACAGTTCTATAGCAGAGAACTAGTTTAGCTTCATGCTCCATTTTGATGTTTTACCCCTTTATTTGACAGCCAAATAAAAAATGTTGTCCCTAGCTAGAAATTGGTATATTTCCCCTGAATTTGCTATAATTTCCACTGAAATGCTCTCTGCACATTCTCCACCAGAACAATGACTTTACAGCAGCTGACTTGCATCAGCTAGTTGATAAATTCAATTGGCTGAAAGACAGAAAGCTATCCCTATAGATAGTTTTTGCTATGTACCATGCATGTTGAATTGAACTGAAATTGAAATTTTATAAAATGGGTTGTTAAATTCCATTCTCAGAATTTGAAAATTGAAAAAAAGAGAATTACTGTTATATGTTTAAATGATGCAAAAAAGCAACAAATTCAGGTGCAATAAGTTTGATATAATTGTAAAATATGTTTCCTTCATAATGTCAATCAGATTGTGCATGAGATAAACTGCCTGTATTAAATTGTTTTATAGTAATCATAAATTATTATGTTGATTATGTAGGTTTCAGACAGAGGAAAATGGAGAGATTCTATAGAAAATGGAGCTTACGAACCATGTACAGACGATATCTTGTTTAAGAAAGACGTTAAAGAAAACACAGAAGAAAGTTCAAAGTAAGTTTAAGGTCAACAGTAAGTTATAGGGAGGGTATAATATCTAAAATGTAAAGCATCTTTTATTTTGCTTAACTTATTTAGCATTTAAAGCCTAGTTTGTCCTCCAGTCTGTCTTAAGGTTCCACTTATACACAATTGTTAAATTTAATAACTGATATATATATTTGGTGATGCGTACTGCCTTTGATACTAGTTCAAGGTTTATAGGATTACTAAGGCTAAAAAACAGATTTTCTGATAATAAGGCAATGTATTAAGCTGTGTCAAAGCAAGAGTGTTGCATAATTATATTCTTGTTTTAGGAGCTTTATCTGAACTGTACAGGAAATGTTGAATTTATTTTTAAATTGTTTATCTCTTTTAAGTGTTGATGGAGAAGACATGGATATGTCAACAGAGGAGGCAAATTACACCATGGCTATAGCTAAAGATATGGCAAAGGCTGTAGTACAGATTGCTAGAGGAATTGAACCTAAATACATGCAACCACCCTTGGGTTAGTTACTCCTTGTTTGTAGTAAGAGCTGTATCTGTTTCTTGTAGAAATCAAATCTTGTTTGCAGAGTCTCAATTCTAGGACATGTGATTGCAGGATTCACGCTACTTTGTCAAAAAAGCGCATGTTTTAAACATGTGAAATTTCTACATCTGAATTTCTAAACTTATCGAAATTTTCAAGATTTTTATTCATTCATTGGACATTATGATATACATGATATATTTCTTTTGTAAGCCTGTTAAGAAATTCCCTCCGATTTTTGAATTTCTAGAATTAGCACTGTTGTTTGACAACACAAAGTCATTCACAGTTGATTACACTAAGAATGAGTTTTCTGTAGGACATTTTGCCTTGCTTTGGCAGATCAGGTCAAACCTTTAACTTGATAAATGTTGCAAAATGAAAGCTGAAATAAAACCATGGATTAGATTGAAGAATATTTTTTTTACAACTCTGCATTGACATATTTTACTGTTTAAAGTAGTGATTACATATTTTGATATTATGTAAATAAGCATGTTTGGTAAATAATGAAAATATGATTTTTTTGTAAGTTATATCATTGACTAATGGAGGTTCATTTTCCGGCGTATCAAACAATAAAAAATCAACAAGTACAAAATATCTTTTACCTATTAAAGACGTTTTCTGGAGTTTTTTATATAGACATATAGGCAAAATCAAAACTGTTCAATAGAATTTCTTTAAACTTGGCATGTTGTTAGAATATGATAACAGAAACATTTTAAACGGGGAAAAAATGGGGTCACCGTTCTCTATACAGATTAACAGTATAACTTATGTACAAAGTAATTCATTTGACAATTTTTACAGATCTACTCTTCTTTACAATGTGGACAGAAGAACTTATATCCCCTCTGACCACTCTAACATCTGTTCAGAAACAGAGATTGGTCCAATATAAACATTGTCTTCCATTTTTAACACCATCACACTGGGCATTAAAAATTGAGCATGTTACAACAGGGTGGCAGTGTAATTTAAATGATTTTCATATATATATAAACAGGTGATGATGATAAAACTAAACTAGCAAAACAGAAGGCTGACAAAAAAGAAGAGCAGAAGAAAAAGAAGAAAGATGATGATGACAGTGATGGTAATTTAAATTTTTTCCATGGTTGTATTTGTAAAGTTATTTATCACTGCTAAATATGCATCACTAATTAGAAATCTTTCAACAAATGACCATTAGGTTATGAAAAACATCATTATTTTACTGTACATTTGTGTACTTAAATTTTTATAAAATATTTCATCAGTTATATAGCTTTATACACTTTATTTGTACCAAATTTGATTTGTATATTTATATACAAATGTTTGTTAACATGTAGTGTTTTGTGTAGTCTTTGTTTGTTTTCATCTAGTATTTTGTGTAGACTTTATGTATACTTTGCATTTTATGAGCAAAGTTTATTAATCTAGTAATAAAATTAATTACATGTACATACATTTCTTATAATTCAGATGATGATGAAGATTCAATGATGCAGAAAACACCAAAGAAATCAGTGATGGAGCGTTGGGAAGATTCCTGTCTACTTAGTACTAGTCTAGCTCAAGTGTTCTTGCATCTGTCTACCTTAGAGAGATCTGTTACATGGTCTAAATCAATTCTTCATACACGTTGTAGAATCTGTCGGAGGAAATGTGATCCAGAGAAAATCCTCCTGTGTGATCAATGTGATCGTGGACATCACATGTACTGCCTTAAACCACCGCTCAAAGTAAAAATACACATAATTAATGTACATTTTATGCCTGTCTTGGACAACAATGTAATGAAAATCTTTACATCGATTTTTAATTCTTAAAAAAAACTTGACTATCCATTTGATTGATTTTATAATATATTTTTTTTAAGATATAAGATAATAAGTTTGTAAGAAATAATATACTAAATGTACACTTTGGTTATTTTCAAAGAAATATAATATCAATATAAGATGATGGTCACTAACATGGTACATCTATGCCACACTTTAAAAAGTTTCATAAAAAAGAATGTTTGTCTGTGTCACAGTATGAAATTAAATGTTGAAATCACTATTGTTACCAGTATATTTAATATGAGAAACCAGCAACATTGAAAATCATAAATGTTAAACCATGTTGAATATTTGAATTATGTAGTAATGAGAAGACCATTTCAGCATGTACCTCAAGGTGAGTGGTTCTGTCCAGATTGTCGACCAAAGGATGTAAAACGTAGTCCTAGAAAGGGAAGACGACGAACATTCAGTGAGAGAGAAGAAGTGTCAAGTGGTGAGGAGGAGGAATCAGAGGCAGAAATAGAAAGGTTAAAATATAATTATTTATTGAAATATTATATATACTGTAACTCTGTTTTATCGGCGCAACTCTATTACCAACATACTCTCAGTATTTTGTCATGTGCGGTCATGCATATGTTGAAGTTAAAAATATTTGACCTCATTTAATAAAAAATGTAATGATTAGTTGAATTTGTACACAGAATATTGATTATTAAATTCGTGAATGATATTTTATGCAGACATATAGGAAAAGTTAAGTAAGCCGATAATACGGAGTCCCATGCTACACTGCAACAGCATTTCATTCACTGCAGTAGCTAACTTATGATAACAAAGCCCTTTAAAGTTATCCTATTGATATAGTTATGAATGTATAACTTCAGCAGCAGAAAAGTGCCATTTGTTACTACGTTTTTCCTGATTTTGATAAAATTTAGAAAAGAATAATGATAGTTATACCTTATACTGCTATATTGAATTATATTTTGTATGTTAAACTGTGAAGTATTATTTCCAATGATTCCAATATCAAGCATATTACCAATATAGTATCTGTTGACTGAGTGAATACAGAGACTGTCCAGATTGTATCCTCCTGCTGTAAGCAAGCCATATCACAGCTTGCATACAAATTATACACTTCATAGTAATATTATGTTGGATGTAAAGATAAATTTTTTGTCATGATATCCTTAATGGTCGATATTTACAGTGGTGAGGAGGAGGCCGAGGATGAGGCTAGTTCAGATGAGGAGAATGATAGTCTATGTGCTGTATGTAGTAAATCTGGCAAGCTCATCTGCTGTGACAATTGTCCCCTCTCATATCATCTCACATGTGCTAAACCTCAACTTAAGAAGATTCCTAAAGGCAAATGGTTGTGTCAGATTTGCTCTGGTACTGACACTAAGGCTGGAAAAATAAAGATGAACCTCGGAAAAGGTGAGCAACTATTACATCTAAGATAAGTAGTTTGTCACTTGTAGAAAAAATGTTAATTACTGGTTAGTTATCCAGGAAAACTGGTTAAGTGGAACAACTGCAGAAATATGACCAAATATGTGTAAAAATCAGCTAAAAAACCAAATCATCAAGCAAGACAAGTGTCATAATATAACCATTGTGTTTAATGTTTTGTATATTATTTGAAACAGCTGACATTGTAGTTTTTATATCATTAATGCTGATATGCTATTTAATCTAAGGTAAGAAGAAGAAAAGTAGTCCAAAACTGACACCAAACTCGAGTAGACAATCATCAAGACGAGGTAGTCCACGAGATAGTCCTGTCACTGTAAACTCAGGGAGAAAACGAAAAAGGGAAGACTCCCCAATGGTTGAGGAAAAACCTAAAATGAAGAGAAATGCAAAATCAACATCGAAACTTGTACAAGAAGTTAAATCTGGTAATTTTCTATGATTTCATGATTTAATCCAAATTAGATGTTTGAAAAAGAAATTTACAACTACCATGAAAAAGAAATATACAACTACCAGTTAATCCATTATCCATTTGGAGATGAAATTTTAATTTTAATCTTGCAGTGTATGGATAGTGAAACTGATACAACATACATTGTTTAGAATTTATAGCTTTTGAAATTTTGATATGCTTTGCTTGTTTATATGGAATTTTGATGATTGACCACTGTATTTCCGATTAATTTTTCTATGCTTTACATGTTTTATTGTAAATCATTTATATGAATTGTATATAGTTTAAAGTGACTTATAGGCCCAACGTGGCCGGGTGTTGTAATTTGTTATATGTATGTTTATTATATTGTACATAACACAATGTCACTATAATAAAATTTGCTTACTTACTTACTTACATGTACTTGACAGATTGATGTAGAATTCTCTATGTGGGCTTTACCTTCAGTCAAAATCAATATTTTGAATAAAATTTTGGATAAATAAAGTCTGTGGTACTTATTTATAAAATCCATCAAGATATGCTATAAACACTTATTTCAGATGAGCCGAAACATTATGTAAGCAGTTCAAGGGGAAATACAAAGGTACAACAATTAAAGATGTTAGAAGATGTTGTTCTGGGCATGATGGAGGAAGATGAAGCCTGGCCATTCCTCAGACCAGTCAACAAGAAAGATGTGAGTTCTTTACTACCAGTATCTTCTTACCTGATATCTCTCAATCATAGTCTTTTTAAAGAAACAGATAAACAGCCCTTCTTATTCAAAACAACATGTTGACATAGAGGGAACATCTCCTTTCTGTTATAAGTCAAAATATCTGAAACCATTAGTTTTGTGTGGTTGGTTGGTTTAACAGCACACCAACACAAATTAGGTCATATTGCGACAGCAAGCTTTTGCCACAATTATACTTGGTTGTTTGAGATAGAAGTGATGCCTAAAAGTTTGTAATTGTATTGCTGTTAAAAGGCATATGAAAATCCTTGAATATTGGAGAAGGCATTGTCAGTGGCATTTTTCCCGTCTTTTTCAGGCACCTGATTATTATGAAATAATCAAGAAACCAATGGATTTCCAAACAATAAAAAACAAAATCAACAAGTTTATGTATACAGATCCTGCTGAAATAGTAGAAGATACACGACAGATCTTTACTAACTGTATAGAATACAATAAACGTACAACACAGGAGTTCAAGGCTGGTGCTAACATGTCTAAACTGTTTGAGAAGAGAATGAAGAATCTAGAGGAGTCTGCTGCTACAAATGGTCCCTCGGGAAAACGTGCCAGAACTAAATAATCATGACAGAACTGGTTACAACTTGTATAGCTTCATCATTTGGTGCAAAATGGCATAATTTAGTAAAATCTTCCTTTGTGTAGTTCCATAATGGAAATTTAAAATCATATTGGTTATTGTAAAGATGTTTTGGTATGGTTGTGTCATGTAATAAGATAAAGGTGTGCTTTTAATCAACATTCCATTACTTGCATGACATTGTTTTTAAATACATCATGGGGATAATTAGAGGGATCATCTTTATAAACTTGGAATAGTAGAAAGTAGTCCGATATTGTAATGTTTATAGCACATTTCTGTATTCATGTATATAATTATATATATTTATAAGTTACAGATATTTATATTGTGTCACATGCAATACAAGTAGTTAAAAAGCACTAGATTTTGTGTAGATGTGATAGTTTAGTACATTTTGTTCTTTTTCTTCTCAAATACCTCAGTTTTTGTTTAAAGTTTAGAGTTTAATTCACCTGCCTTCCAAAGATATGCATATGTTTTTAAGTGAAATTTTGTTCTTTAGTTTAATATTTTAGTATTATATTTTTGAAATCGTCCTGTTTCTTTTGTAACTTACAAGTAATTATATATATACTGTGCTACATGGAAATAATGTGTGAATCGTTTAATAAAGTATGAAACTTAAAACTCTATGTATATAAGAAGAAAGTCTTCCCTTAACTTAATTGTGAAGAGTGATTGAAGAAAAACATCATTACAAGCTTGTGAAAATTTGGCAAATATTTCAGATTTGTGATGTACTTTTTGAGATGATGATCACACTTATGTACAAGTTCCATAAAAAAAGTAACCTGCAGATATATGTTGAATATTATAAACTAATAACTACAGTTTCTACAGTGTCTCTAATGAACAAATTACATTAGTATCCAAGTTAAGTCATTGCATATAGGACATGTAGGTTTATATTTGTAAGTGATACAATAATTTTCCATGATACTGTACGATTTATAGTTTGTATCTTTTATGTTAAACTTTAAGATTTTCGGCAAGCATAGAAGTGGTATCTATTTGTATATTTGTAATTTGGATGTATTTATTTTTGATGCTGTGTCAATATGTGACTTGACATAATAAATGTCTTCAAAGGTCTGCTTTTGTTATTTTTTACCAGTTAAAAGCACAGAAAGAGTAGCAGCAACATATAGGGATCACTTTTCTGTTGTCTCTCCGTCCTTCACAAAAGTTTTCTAGACTACTCCTCATCCAAACTTTGCAGAAAGGAGTATCAAGTCTAGTTGTGGACCCTTTTAATACACCCATGAACATGTTGCAAGTACGATAGCTTGATGCAGGTATAACTTACTATATAAATGTCAATTTTAAACCGGAACAGTTGAATAAGGGTGACATTGACACAAAATACGCCCGTCGCAAAAGCTTTAGGTGCAGATGTGGACGATACGAAGTGTGGCAGTCAAGTTGGTCCCTATGCATATTTTTGTATATTTAGGTCACCAGAACAGAAGGTTCAGGGTGAGCTATTATTATCAAAGGGGGATACCCTGCGTCTGTCAACATTCATCTAAGAAATTGCTGGGCAAATTGAATTCTAGAGCTAAAAATAGAAAAAACCTTTAAACACCTACTGACTTTATTGATGGATGATCACCAAACTTTGTAGCATTCCCAGGCAGTCTTTTATCAAATTTGCTCTTATTAATTTGATTTGCCCCTATTAGAGGCTGCTAAAGCTGAAAATAGAAAAACCTTTAAACATCTTTTTTCACTGAACTAGTTGATGGATGATCGCCAAACTTTGTAACATTCTTAGGTAGCAAATTTGATTGGCCCCTTTTTAGGGGCCTCTAAAGCTGAAAGTAGATATCTTCTACTGAACTAATTGATGGATGATCACCAAACTGTAGCATTCTTAGGTAGTCTGATAAAAAAGGCTCCAGTATGAAATTAGAAAGTGTGAGTTGACATGCTTTACTTGCCAGATATACAGCAACAATAAACTTGGCTATTTGTGGACGATTGCTTTTTTTTCTTCCTCATTTCCTTTTTTATGAAGAAAAATTCAAGGGCCGTAAGTGATGATGTGTCACCTAATGCTAGCCATAACTCTGCGAAAATCATTCAACCTAAAAATCTGAGTAATATGCACAAGAATTTGAGCTATCAATCAATCCTGTAAAGTTTCATTGAAATTGCATTAGTGATGTAACAGGAGTAGTCAAGACAAAATTAAAATCATTAAAGGGCCAAAACTCTTGACAAAAATCAATGAACCAAAAAATGTTGATGAGATACACAACTAGACATGGTATTGATCATTCCCCTAAAGTTTTGATGAAATTGCACCAGTAGCTTCTGAGTAGTAGTCCAGACAAACTTTTGTGTTATTGGCAACACAAAAAAAAACCACCTCAATATCTCCGCCAAAAATCATTCAACATAAGTCACTAAGTGGTATAAGAGAAGTAATTCTGACAAACTTTATTAACACCCTTTTCAACTGGCCAAAATTAATTAAAGTGGAAAACCCATGTAATATGCATAAGTCCAGATAAACTTTACTTCGACAAAATTCATTAAACCATAAAAAGCCAATGATATGCACAACTCGACTTGCTACTGATCATTCCTGTAAAGTTTGGATGAAATTGCATAGTCACCAGTAGTTAATGAGTAGTCCGGACAAGTTTTGTGAAGGACAAAGACAACGTAGTGATCCCTTTATGTCGCCACTACTCCATAGAGGCGACACAAAAACCAATCAGTGTCATGAAACTATAACTAGAGGGACAAGTTGAGCTGGATTTGCCTTTTGGCAAGTTCATTTGAAATATTATGTCTTACACTGAAAAACAGTAGTTTCTGGCCATCATGTCTTTAACTTTACCCATGTGAGTTTCAAATTGGTTGCAGGGATCTGTATTTAATGTGCGACACTTTGCCTCACAATGATGAAATTTTGTGCCAAGTTTAGTTACTCTGAAATCCCTCAATGCATGAAGTTTTGTTCAGTACAAGCGTTTTTTTAACAGATTAAGTGTGACTGACGAAGAAACCTGGTTGAAACACAGGGCACTATGTCTCGCGGTGAACCATGCTATAAAGTAACATCTAAATTCCTCTATGCATGAGATATCCTCTGGACAATGATGACCAAATAGTCCATATACACATCTAAACTGGCATTTGATAGAAGTTAATAACTCCACCAGAATAGATGTAGAGGGGGTATACTGGTTTGAATCTGTCCTTTTGTAGACACAATCTCGACCTTAATGGTACTTAACTAATCACTAAATAATTTATGTTGAGAAATTCAGATTTGTGCTAAAATTGCCACTTTTACCAATTTGATACTTGTTTGGGCTAACACCTAGGATAAGACAAGAGTCGGTTTGAACCGGGTGATGCTCCCCAAATAGATTTTGGACACACGAAAGTACACCTTTTGCAGTTTCAAAGTTATATTCCTGACAAAGTTCAGTAATTCCGAAATTAGGCAAGGTAGAGTTACTGTTCTTTGCACTGCACTTCTACTAATGAGATATATCTACCAACTTAGTTTCTTGATATCTCTTGTAGTTCGACAGTTATGTCCCGGACAATGTTCAGTGTAAAATTGAAAAAGAGCAGTAACTCCAGGCAAGGCAGTGTTAACATTTCTTTTGTACTGCTCATCTACCCAATGAGATCTATCTACTTGTTCATATCTCATACTTTCAGAGCTATGTCCCGACGTGTAAAAATGAACAAAGGGCAATAACTCCAAAATTAAAAAAGGCAAAATTACGGTTCTTTTGCACTGCACTTCTATTCTACCTACAAAGTTTCTTGTTGATACATGTATGATGTTTAGGTTTCAGAGCCATGTCCTAGACAAAGTTCAGTGAAAAATGAACAAAGGGCAATAAATCCAAATGATGGAAGGCAGTTATGGTTCTTTAGCACTGCCCTATCTACCTTTATTGTATTATAGTTTACGGTGTAAAAATGAACAAAGGGCAATAACTCAAAAATAAGGCAAGGCAGAATTATGGTTCTTTGGCTATGCCCTCCGTCTCGATGCCTTCTGCCACCGTGTTCAGTTTAAACAAATTATATCCAGGGTTATGCTCTCCCTTTAGGGAGCATAAAACTGTTAAGTGGGTAAATTCATGACTGACCTTTTAAAAGTAATATCTCTTTTAATTTTCATACAATTATACCAAAGATAGGATTCATACTTGGACAAAACTGTCTTGTTAGGTTCTTAAGAATTGAAATTTATGCAGATTTGATATTTTGACAAAATGACATGCAAGGCTACATACTGCCTCAAGTGAATATAATTTTCAATACCTTAAAGGTATTTAAAAAAAAAAAATATATGGATCAATTTAATTTCCATAGCTATTGGTGGATTTGGTTTACACAAAGATAAAATGATGTTCAGGACCAAACTTTCATGTTTAGTAATTGAAACTTTCACATATTGAAGTGATCAAGTTTGGTAAATGTGGTCTCTTCTTGTAGCGGCTTGTTTCAGGCATGAAAGCTGTTTATGGTGGGAATTTATCACCTTCTGTGATAGTTCTAGTATCATCTTCAGAAACTAGAAAACATCAAAATGATTTCATCACGTCATTTCTCCAATACATCTTAATGTTAAAATACATGTTGTGTATCATTGCATCAAAAACTGCAAACAATCCTTAGCAAGCTCTTATTGCTAAAGTAAATCTTTAGACAAGAAATTTAGATTGTGCTAACATTTGGGTAGACAAGTACTATACTATGATTATCAACAAGGCTTCATTAACCTTTGGGCATATAAATTTGAACAAAGCATTTACTACAAAAAGATTTCCTTATCTCAAAATCTTTTTTTCTTTAGAAATTCCCAATAAGGCTACATTTCAGACACTGATCAAGAGATCTGTATATTATAAGGTCTTCCTGCTGTGTCAAAAGTCACACTTGTTTTATTTCTTTCATGAAGCAAAATTTATTTATTTCTTCTAGTAACCTTAAAACAGCAACAACTAAGTTTTTTCTCTTTATTTTCTCTTTGCACCAACCATTTCAACGAGCACATTTTCAGCAAAATAAATAACTTGACTGTAGTTATGCACAAAATATGACAGTTTTCACTTGTAAATTTTTCCTTGATTGAATTTTTTGCCACCATAACCATCAAAATCTCCTTCCCATGCAAAGTATTCTTTAACCATCTTTTTAGTTTTTTCATCATCTGGATTCAGTTTTGTCCATTTGTAGGATTCATAGTCTATTTGCCAGTCAGGACTCAACTGTCAAATGATAAACATACGTAAAATTATTTCATGAATTAAAACAAAGTATCTATCGATACTCAAAATTGCAATAAATGTGTGAAATTTTCAAGGCATTTAATTAAGGGCACATTATACCCCAGAATTATTAAAGTTTTCCTCCTTTAGAATGGGCAAACAATGAGTTTTATAATGTTTAAATAATAGTTTAAGAGCACTTTAGATGCTTAAGTAAGTGCTGAAATGAAATTATTTGTCTTAATAGTAGCAAAATGTAAACAAGAAGCGCCGCAATGCGACGAAAACCAGGTTTTCAACAACCAAGTTTTGATGTGACAGCAATGAATAGGTCAAAAAGCACTGAAGTAATTGAGTAGAAGCTGAAAATTCTATTGTAAGCAAATGACCTTGAACTTGCTCCCAGATATCTTAGTGGCAATCCAAAGCTGCCACTCAGCAAGTTTGGTGTCAAAAGGTCAAAGCAAAGTCAAGTTATAACATGAAAACTAAAAACATTAACCTTGATCACAGACACCTGGGTAGCAATCCTAAGCTGCCTCTTGATATAAACTACCCATTCATCAAGTTTAGTGTCAATAGGCCAAAGCAAACTCAAGTTATTGAGCGGAAACTGAATTTCTATTTTTAGTAACAAACAGTGACCTTGACCTTGATCACAGACACCTAGTTAGCAATCCCAAGCTGCCTCTTGATATAACCTATCCATTCCTCAAGTTTGGTGTCAATAGGCCAAAGCAAACTCAAGTTACTGAGCAGAAACTTAATTTCTATTTTTAGAAACAGTGACCTTGATCACAGACACATGGGTAGCAATCCCAAGCTGCCTCTTGATATAAGCTATCCATACACCAAGTTAGGTGTCAATAGGCCAAAGCAAACCCAAGTTATTGAGCGAAACTGAATTTCTATTTTTTAGTAACAGTGACCTTGACCTTGATCACAGACACCTGGATAGCGATCCCAAGCTGCCTCTTGATATAACTTATCCATACACCAAGTTTGGTGTCAATAGGCCAAAGCAAACTAAAGTTATTGAGCGGAAACTGAATTTCTATTTTTAGTAACAAGTGACCTTGACCTTGATCACAGACACCTGGATAGCAATCCCAAGCTGCCTCTTGATATAAGCTATCCATACACCAAGTTAGGTGTCAATAGGCCAAAGCAAACTAAAGTTATTGAACGGAAACTGAATTTCTATTTTTAGTAACAGTGACCTTGATCACAGACATTTGGGCAGCAATCCCAAGCTGCCTCTTGATATAAGCTATCCATACACCAAGTTTGGTGTTAATAGGTCAAAGCAAACTAAAGTTATTGAGTGGAAACTGAATTTCTATTTTTAGTAACAGTGACCTTGACCTTGATCACAGACACATGGGTAGCAATCCCAAGCTGCCTCTTGATATAAGCTATCTATACACCAAGTTTGGTGTCAATAGGCCAAAGCAAACTTAAGTTATTGAGCGGAAACTGAATTTCTATTTTTAGTAACAGTGACCTTGACCTTGATCATAGACATCTGGGTAGCAATCCCAAGCTGCCTCTTGATATAAGCTAGACATACACCATGTTGTGTCATTAGGTCAAAGCAAACTCAAGTTACTGAGCGGAAACTGAATTTCTATTTTTAGTAACAGTGACCTTGACCTTGATCACAGACACCTGGGTAGCAATCCCAAGCAGCCTCTTGATATGAGCTACCTACACACCAAGTTTGGTGTCAATAGGCCAAAGCAAACTAAAGTTATTGAGCGGAAACCAAAAGTTGACGCCCGCCCGCCCGCCGACTTCGGCATTACAATAACCCGGTTTTCGTTGAAAACCTGGTTAACAAAGTAGTATTTTAACTTAATTACAAAATGCTAAGTCATCACTTTAAATGTACTAATTGCCAAAAAGCAACAGAAGCAAAAGATGGTTAAGGTAATTGGCCAATTAGTACTTTTTTTGAAGATTTGAGAAATACACATAAAAGCATTTCTGGAGCATAATTGGCCTTTCAGCAAAATTACCAGCTATCTTTTTTAAACTTAATGTCATAGTAAAAATTTTAAGTAATGTAATGAACTTGTCAAATTTGTTGTAAGAGACTGAATATGTTCACTTATAGTGTAATAGATATAACATATCATTTATTGCTAACACTTCAAGTGATTTCTCTACCTCCATTTCTTACACATCTATCCATTATTGGATAAACATGCCTTTGTTAGAGGAATCTGGATTATTAACAGCAAAATACATTCACAGTAAAGTAGGATTGTCAAGCCTTAGTCTCCTGAGAATGTTATTTCTTTTCTTTATGAACCAATTTAATACAGACTAGACCATTTCAGAGAATAGTAATATGAAATTTCAGTAAATTATGATGGTAGTGACTTTTTTCTGGGTGTAAATTTACACATGTTAATATAAACTGTAGTCTTGTTGCACAGCATATGTGCATTACTTTAACACCTAGCCAGCCAGTATTGCTTATTGCCATGGTAACAACTAATAGGCATTATTTCCTTTATTTAAAAAATCTTACGACCATACCACATTTTTTTCTCAAACAATGAACCAGTTATAAATCCTAAAAACTACAATAAATAACCTACAGGGAATGCTAAATCTTGTCCTCTCCAAAACCATAAACCAGAGATTTGATTGCTATTGTCTTGTCCAAGTATACACATACTTCCAAATGCAAACTTTCTTAATTTTTCCAAACGCTGCATCATTCCTGAAAGTTTAAACAAGAAATGAGTAAACATAATAAACAGTAAAATGAAATTCTTGGTAAACGTTACTTCAGATTAGTATCGTTCTCATGCATACATTAACATAATTCTTGTAATAATCTTGATACTGTTCAAAACAAGATATGTTTCTAAAACATGTATGCCCCCTATCAGCAGCCAATTAGTCATGTGATCAGGTTATTATGCATGATTTCTGACCATGTGAACAAACAATTAATAAGGGTTATCTAGTATCTACTGGTCATGACTTAAGTCACAAGGTAATAATAATTGTGACCCCATAGGTTGAGTGCAGCAATTTAAGTTATTACAAATCTTATCAAATAATATATGCATAAATTTTATGAATTATGTAGGCCTCATTAATGACAGCCAAGTTGTTATATTACATAAGACACCAAAAGCATTTTTAGTTTAATATAAAAATATCAACCAAAGCAACTTGAGTTGTTGAGTTACTGGTCAGAAACCGTCATTAAGTACAAGGTCAATATGACATTGACCCCTTGACCCCAAATTCAAAAGGGGTCATCTACAGGTCATGACCAATCATCATACCAAGTTTGAAGTTCCTAGGCCTAATGGTTCTTTAGTTATCACTCAGAAACCATTTGGTCTACGGACCGACAAGTGCAAAGCAATCTACCCCCTCTTCTTTGAAGTGGGGGCATAATAACATAGAAACTATATTATGATTGCAAAAATTTCTTTCTCCAAGGTGAAGAGATAAAAACCTTAAGAACACACTCGACTTACCTCCTACAAGATTGCAGGTCATGAAGATCATTTTCAATTCATCTGGATACAAGTATTCACAATGCCAGATTGACATGTTTTCTTTATCAAATTTCTCCCAGAAATAAGGTACAGCCACTTCAATAGTGTCATTGTTAGAGTAAGTTCTTTTAAAGGCATCAAAGTCAAATGAACTGAAAACAAAATTTACAAGTTATAACTTTACTCAAGAGTATGCACATATTTATCATGAAAAATGCTGTTTCTTAAAAACTCTACTTTCATTAAATATGTCACAAAACCTTTGTTTGTAATAATGGGCATTTTCATTGTTTAAAGTGTAAAGTTTATTATTTTAAGCCTTTATATAGTTATCACTTTTTACAAATTAAATATTTCCGACATTGCTATATAAGGCAGTATAATTTTCAAGCATTTAAATACTAGCTTCTTTTGCTATGGTAAATTTTTAAACACAGCAGCTTCATATTGATAAGCCAACACGAGAAGTTAATCTGAAAATTGTAATTATTCTACAATCACTAAGATAAACATGCAGTAAGACATTACATACGTTTTGGGTACAGTAGCCCAGGGATCTTTGTCTTCCTTTGGTTTAGGTGGTTCATCATCATCCTCGGGCTCCTTCTACAAAACATCAATCATTGTTTCAATATACTGTCATTTTTCTTTCTCTTCATACGAAAACTGAGAGCACACTATATAATGTAAGAAAGCAAGTCATCTCAGCACTGTTAAGCATAGGTTAATTTTATGACCTTCCGAATTCATTGTAGGAGGACCCAAGTTGCACCCTTCATGTGCTATTTTCAGGAGCAACTTACAATTACAGTGGAAGAACAACTTACTGTAAACTAGCTGGATAGCTTCACAATATGCAACATTCCTGCCAGAATACAAACCTACAGCTTTAAGAGGTGAGCAATTACAAGTCACCATCAGTTGCAGAGAACAGAAATATGTAGAAATACATGTCTACCTAATATCCTGTCACTAAAATCAATACATTTACCAAAGTTTCAACAGTTATGATTAAACTTGTGTACTATTGAATACCTTTTTTTCTTGTTTTGGTTGCTGCTTTGGCTGTTCTTTCTTCTGTTTAGCAGGCTTCTCATCCTTCTTCTTTTTATCTAAGCCATGCAACTCTGAATACTTTTTGGCTGAAAATGAAACAAAAGCTTTCAATTTTTTTTAAGTCACGGTCAACATCATACGCTAGCTTCCCAGATCTTTGTTCACGCAACTCCTTCATCATTTCATACATTGGCAGGCAGTGGATTATCATTCAATGAGCGAGAAAAGCTCTCCCATAATGCAATCAAATTAGAATATGGAACCCTAGCAGGTAAAGGTGATTCTAAGTCAGAAACTTTTAACAACTCTTCCAATTCTATAAATAGCACAAGATTCTTTAACAAAAACAAAGGTATCATTCATATCCGATTTGGATGAAAGAATTTAGTTTGTAGTATCTAAGAGACATTCTTTAAAATATTGTACTGACAAGGGACATATAAAAACATCCAAACCTCCTGAAATTTTATATAAAGACACAGCACTTGAATGACGTAAAATCACAACTTACCATCAAATGTTGCCATCTTATCACAAAGTTTGAAGTCACCAATAACCTTCTTGAAGTTAGGTTGATTAATGAGTGTTGTAAACCATCTGTTGACATTAACATATGATCCACGAACTGATGGGTCAAGTACCTAGATATATTCAAGAAGTTTATTGCAACATTGATTTACAATTTACTACAGAACTCTGAGAACTGCTTATTTTTTTTTTAAAATCATTTTAAACATTATCATAGTTGTCTGGTCATTATATTTCTGTAAATACAACAACGCATGTATTACATTAAAACACCATTTATTCTCTACCTTCCGTTGTTACATATCTACCTACTAACAGATAGACATGCCTTTGTAGAAGGAAAATTAAATACAAGTTTTTTAAAGATAATTTTAATCAATTACAACAAAAGAAGTTCCCTTACATATTGGTAGGCGAGCAGCAGATCACAAGCGACGGCAATATCAGCCTGTGTAATTCTTTCACCAACAAGGTAGGTACGGGTCTTCAGGTGACTATTCAACACACTTAGAGCCTTCTGTATCTGTTCCTTTGCTTTCTCTGTGTCCTGAATAAGAAACACTGAAGTATTTTTATTTCACACTTTATAAACCATTACAAATAACAATATCGGTAACATCTAAAGAATGCATTGCTTCATCACAACTCCAAAAACATTCCTAATGAGAAAAAGTAGAAACAAGCAACAGGAAATGTCGTTTTTTGCCAATAAAAATTTTATCAATACAATTTGTCAAACAAGCCGTAAGAAGGACATCATGCTAACCTTTTCTGAGTGTTTGATAGTAAAAAAAGGCCAGGATAGTGTAGAATTTTCTTAGTTAAAAAGGGGCCATACTTGGTCAAAATCCATATTAGAGTTATGACCTTATGGGCCATGGACAGTAGGCTCCTATTATGCTCTCAAATAAGTGTGTGAAGCTTCAACCCATTCCCTGTATAAGTTTTTGAGATACCAACATGCACGCAAAAAAACTCACAGAAATGTGACAACAACGGCTGGTGTAAGTACAATAGCTCTCCCTATTTTTCGAAAAGTCAAAACTAAAAATCAATCATGTTCAGAGAAAAGTTTTCCATGCCCTATAAAGAACATAAATGCAAATTGTCTCTGAATTTATATACCTTCATCTCTTACACGCTTGTTCCTTAAATCATACAAACGTGCCTTATATTGAAGGACTTGTATTATAATAACAATTACCTATTGCACAACTAAAAACTTGTGCATCTTAAATTAAACAGAACTAAAGAAAATATGAATTTTAAATACTATAATATATGCTTATATCATGCCTTTAACAAAGTACTTATAACAAAGCAGTTTTCCCTTCTTTTTTAAATTCTTGAAAAACATTTTGTAAACATTATTTTCAAAATTATTGGAGTCAAATAAAAATTTCCTCAATTTGTCTGGTTACACCACCATTCCTAAAGTTGGGGAAAGGTAAGGTATGTATAAATAGGGGGCAAACTAAACACACTGATGAGCATTTTAATACCTGTTTATTGAACTGTGTGATTCCCAGGCAGGGAAAGACCCATGTGCATGACGCTGGAAGAATCTCATTGTCACCAAAGTTAATCCATTGTTGTATACGTGCAGCATCTGCTTGTGTCTTGCCCAACAGCTGGTCATTTCCAACTAAATAGAGATAAAAATACTTTGCATCATGCATCAATCAAATAAAACATAAACACAAGCTGAAGTAATATCCCTCTGTTACAAACAGGACTATTTAGCGTACTAAAACTCTATATCAATGGTAAATTTAACCTTTTCCCTTATATAAGCGTGTTTCGGCGGCTTTTTGCCTCCCCTTTTTGAGGCCTCAAACAGTGAAAAAAATGCCCTATTTAGGCCCCAAAAACTGTTTATCGTTTGAGAAATGTTGTTAACAAAAGTGACCACTTTTTCAGCGCCGTCCCCCATCCAAATATTACATCAGGATTGGCAATGTTCATTATTTATGTCAGGTGTGAAATGAAACCAAATGTAGAAATTCATGTCAATCAATTTAACTTTTAATGCAACAGGGCTATTTTTCCTTCTGCAGCAGGGACAGTCAAAGGGCAGCTTCCCCTATGGAAAATTCTTAAAAAGCATGTAATTTTCCCCTTAAATGAACATCCAAGTTTTTTCTTCTTTTTTCCCCCCGTCATATTTATAGAAAAGGCCTCTTCTCTTACCTGTGAAAAGGCCCTGAGCAAGACTAAAACCCAAAGGTGATGTGTACAATGATGACAAGAGCTTTGAAGTTTACAAAATTGGTAATTTGGGAAAATAAAATTGGTGCTAGGTATGATTTTTTCCGGAAATCTGCATGAAAATTCAACTGAAAAGACTGTCTAGTCCTGCATTTAGCAAAAAAAAAAATATTAGTAAAGATTTACCATAGTGAGCTATTGCATTGCTTTCAAAAATACAGTCACCATTGCTTGCTTCAAATGCAGGTACCTAAAGTGGAAGGACATGCAGGTATGAATTAACATTTGATTATGGAATCATAATAAATTTAATAAACATTGGTTCCTAAAAGTATTCCATCTTAAATATATTTCAATATTTTGTCAATTTACAAACTTTCTTAATTCATGTTAAGTGTAAATAAAAATATTTTAACTGGCTTTGAAATATACCAAGGTTGTGTGTAGGAGGTTGAGAAAATGTGCAGCCTGATCGGCATCCGGACACTCGAACAGGGACCCTCAGCCTCAGGATACCGACTGTGTTATCCAGCTGCTTACTTCTCTACCTTATTAAACAAGAGCTGTCGGTAGGACAGCAACGCTCGACTATTCTTAGTGCTTGATAGTAAAAAAAATGCTTGATAGAGTTACCTCCTCCTGTTTACAGGTTGGGGTCATGATGATGAACAAGTGTGCAAAATTTCAAAGCCATATGTCAATGGACTTTGAAAATATTTGAACTATTACAAAAACTTTAACGTAAATTCTAAGTCGAAAAAGGGGCATAATTCTGTCAAAATGCTTGATAGAGTTACCTCCCACTGTTTACAGGTTGGGGTCATGATGGTGAACAAGTGTGCAAAGTTTCAAAGCCATATGTCAATGGACTTTGAAAATATTTGAACTATTACAAAAACTTTAACGTAAATTCTAAGTCGAAAAAGGGGCATAATTCTGTCAAAATGCTTGATAGAGTTACCTCCTCCTGTTTACAGGTTGGGGTCATGGTGGTGAACAAGTGTGTAAAGTTTCAAAGCCATATGTCAATGGACTTTGAAAATATTTGAACTATTACAAAAACTTTAACGTAAATTCTAAGTCGAAAAAGGGGCATAATTCTGTCAAAATGCTTGATAGAGTTACCTCCTCCTGTCTACAGGTTGGGGTCATGATGGTGAACAAGTGTGCAAAGTTTCAAAGCCATATGTATGGACTTTGAAAATATTTGAACTATTACAAAACTTTAACATAAGTGGTTACGCCGACGCCGACGCTCGGGTGACTGCAATAGCTCTACTTATTCTTATCGAATAGTCGAGCTAAAAAGTGAACAATTCTAAAGCATCACACACGCCAACCTTGGTTAAAAAACAAGCCCTGAATATACCATTTTGGTGTTATTTTAAAGTACCCAAGTACAAATAAGAATGTTCAAAGATTTTAAACAAAAATTTCAAGACATTGCATCATTCTAAGCTTGAAAATACAAAATATATACCTTTCCGAGAGGGAACTTTGACAAGAAAGCACTAGATTTATTGGTGTCACCAAACTTAAAACTTGTGTCCACTGACACTTTGGCACCACTGTATTCGGCAGCAATTAGAGCCTTGAACGCTCTAAAATTGCCTGGATATGTGAACAATTTCTGAAAAAAATGTGAAAATTAATTAAAAATTAGATATCGTAATTATATCTCTACAAGAGTTATATATTAATGTGTAAATAACCATCATAACGAAACAGATTCATGTCGATTTATCATATTTGCCACGCAAACTTACCCCAGACGCCATTACACCGGCTCAAAAAGGAAGTTGGTAGTATTTACATTTCCGTACATGCGTACATCTGTCAAATTATCGGAAGCGCCCGGATGTTTTTGCAGCAACTGGAGTAACTTATCAGCATCTAATTTACGTTATAAAAATGGTAAGCATTTATCAAATGAAATCAAACTGATGCTCGTTTATTTTAAGCATTTCTTATCGATGATTTTAAATGACATTCAAGGATGGGAGTGCAACAGAAATGTTAAACTATCGGAATAAATTTCTGTGTTGACATTTTTACATGTTGAAATAGTGGGTGGGGAAAATTATTTATTGCTTAAAGTACTTTTTCATGAAAATAGTCTTTCAGATGAATTTAAGTAATATAGTTGAATAATTTGAAACAAATTATGTCATTTTGAGCAATAATTGTAAATTTTTAGTTACTGTATATGAATTAATAAATTGAAATTTAATGCTTGGATTTTGGAACTATTGGTATCAAAGATATGATTTCGAGTCATTTTGGCCCAAAGACGTATCAGCCCCAAAATACCCAAGACATTTCAGCCCTTTACCAAATCGGCCCCATATTTAGTTAGGAATAAGTCTTACCTTAAAGCTACATTAAATAAATATGTAAAAATATTTTTGCCGTCGGCCTAACAACCAAGCATTCTACAGTTTGAACTTTCATTAACCTTTTTTACAGTATCGTTGTAAATATCATCAAAAAGTGTTCATAAATAAGGATTTTAAATGGAAAACTCCACAGTAACACTAAAGTTGGTATACGAATTTTAACTTGCAAATGAAGACTATAATCAGCTTGTGTATGCGCTACGTCACGATGTTATCATTGCTATCCGGAACACAGCAAATATAAGATTTTCATGTGCAACGGTGCACTAGGCTCAGTAAAAATAATCATCTTATAAAAAAGATTAAATTTGTATGAAAATATCCGTTACAATGTGGAAATATACTGTTAAATTAGGCAGGGCTCTCGATTGACACGGGGATCCGGGTTTTGACTCGTGAAAATCAGGAAATGCACAAATTTGACACGTGATAAAATTTGCACAAGAGTCAATTTGCCACATGGGATTTTAAGCTATGCAATAATAATTACCTTAAACCCACACCTAATGACCTATCAAATCATACATGTGTTCAAATCGCACTCAATAAAAATGTCAACAGGCAGTATAAGTCGTGTATAAAGGGCTTTACACACAGCATGTGCACTGAAGCGCAAAATCAGTGGCTGCAATTTGACAGTGTTAAAAATAGCTCCACACAACTGATAAGAATTACATACTTGAGGTGTCAATTATTGATTGCTATTAAAGGTTAACAATACAATACGTCTTTGATTTACCTGGAGTACCTGTACATTTTTTATCAAAATAAACAACATTTTGATATTTAAAATTAATATGATATAGCATACCAGTAAAAATAATTTTTTATACTTTACTGCAGTATACATTTAATCAGAAAAGCTGCTGCTTTTTTATTCTTTCACAGTAAAGATGTAATTCATTTTGTTTGTTTGTTTTTTGGGGTTTTTTTGTTATTTTTTTTTGGGGGGGGGGGGGTTATATGGACATTTATAACTCCAATACAGTAAAATTTTGTAAAAATGATTCATGTAGTCAAATGACACTATAAAAGAATGATTTGACTCATGAAAATTTTGGCCAAAGAGTCTTTGACTCGTGAAATTCTGACCCTACTGAGAGCCCTGTTAGGACTGCTACTTATAGTCATGTTTGTTGATTTAACATTGATGTACGGATGATCAGAAGGCGAAGTTTCTTATGCAAACAGAAATTTTACTTCCGAATTCACCACAATGAGGTTGCACATTTGTATGCCAATAAAACTCCTTTTGGTTGTCTGGACACCAAAATAAGATCTGGATTCGATATGAAACCCAATTTATTAATGAAATGTCGTTATTTCTCAAATTTTCTGTTTTTATGAAATTTATTAAATGTAACTTTAACGTGTTTTATACCAGAATTTTAATAGCATATAAATAATGAAATAATAAAAGGAATGAGAGAATAAATTGAATAATTTAATTATGATTTTTAATTGAATGAGGCTAAAATAGTAGTAAAACAAACAGAACAGAACATTATAATAACTTTGTTAAACAAAACATAGTACACAAACACTGAAACATATTTTATCTGCTTATTATCAATAAGTTTTTTTTTCAAATTTGAATGATTAAAAAGCAAGACACAGCACAGTACAAACATTTATTATCAAAACTATTAAAGTAATAGTAAGAGACTAGTTTTAGCAATACAATACAACACATGACAGTTAAAAAATTATAAGATAAAACAAACAATACTTTGTAAACAGTCATTTTTTAAATTAAAAAAAAACTAAAACATTTTTTACAATAAAAATGATAGATTTTCAATCAGAGCTTATATTATCAAGAAATTATATCAAATCAAAAGTTAAAAAATCCTTGATATTACTAACGGCTAATTAGCTAATTAATTTGTTAAACCTTGAAAAAAAAACATATATCTAAAGTGTTAGCTAAATGATTAATAGAGATCAAAAGATAATGATTTTTGAAGTATATATGTAATTAATTTTGTTAATCAAAAAGTTTTTGCATAAATTTGTCAACTGTTTTTATAAAATAACAATTAAGTGTCTTTAGTTGTATTTATTGTTACACATTGAAAAAAGCATTTATCTAAATAGCGATGATAGATCTATAATGGATTATCAATCAAGGATTAAAATGTCATAATTGTGTGTCATCAATCAATCAATGTACTACAATTTTTAACGATTTTAAGTATGAAAATTCCTTTTAAACTTAAATAAAACTGTAATAAAAAAAAAATAAAACTGTAATGGAAAAAGGCCGAAACGTCTCGCGGAAAAGGGCGGAAACGTCTAGGGGCCGATTTTTGCATAGGGGCTGATTTGGTTTGGGGCCGAAACGTGCTGTTTGCAAAGATATATCGTGGGGTGCCCTAAATTCTTCCCTGTCTTAGAGTCAACACCTGTCATGTGCATGTCAGAAAGTCGTAACAAATTGTTGTTAAGAGATCAAACAGTTGGATATTTTTAAACATCAAAGTAAATTTAATGTATCTGCCAAATTTCTTCAACATAGAATGCTTGATCAATAGAAATTAGAAATAGAAAAAGTAGCACTGTAAAATGCTAAGGGTGACGAACCATGGCCACCCGAGGATATATACAACGAATAGGAAGCTCCGAAAATATATGATAGTCTGATTCAGACCCACAATGCTTTGCGCGCTTCGGTGATAATAAAGTTTTCTTGCTAGTCTTCGATTTTAGTGCTCTTGTTAAACTTCGGCGTTATCTGTGAATTATTGTTTACATTGCCGACAAGGATTTTCATGTGTGTTTGAAATGGAAATTTTAAACAGAAATGTTGTTTAATTACATAAGGGACACAACTAAAGCCGGGATATTTTACGGCAACTGTGATGGCTGTGTTCACATTTATCTTTTCTTGAAAGCGGTTTCAGCTTTTCCGTTATATATGCTTTTTATGCCCCCACAGAGTGGGAGCATATAGCGTTGCACTTGTCCGTCTGTCTGTCCCGAAATCTTGTGAACGCAACTCCTCTTAAACGGGATGGCAGATTTTGCTTAAACTTCCAGGGATGAACAACGTAATGTGTAGATGGTAGTAAAGGGAGGAATTTTTGCTGCGACCAAATTTAACAGAATTATGGCCCTTTGTTGATTTTTTCACTGTATACTATGTAGAAATTTTGTGAACGCAACTCCTCTAAAACCGGATGGCAGATTTTGCTTAAACTTCCAGGGATGAACAACGTAATGTGTAGATGGTAGTATAGGAAGGAATTTTTGCTGGGACCAAATTTAACAGAATTATGGCCCTTTGTTGATTTTTTCACTGTATACTATGTAGAAATTTTGTGAACGCAACTCCTCTAAAACCGGATAGCAGATTTTGCTTAAACTTCCAGGGATGAACAACGTAATGTGTAGATGGTAGTAAAGGGAGGAATTTTTGCTGAGACCAAATTTAACAGAATTGGCCCTATGTTGATTTTTTCACTGTATACTATGTAGAAATTTTGTGAACGCAACTCCTCTTAAACCGGATGGCAGATTTTGCTTAAACTTCCAGGGATGAACAACCTTAATGTGTAGATGGTAGTATAGGAAGGAAGTTTTGCTGAGACCAAATTTAACAGAATTATGGCCCTTTGTTGATTTTCTCACTATATACTATGTAGAAATTTTGTGAACGCAACTCCTCTAAAACCGGATAGCAGATTTTGCTTAAACTTCCAGGGATGAACAACGTAATGTGTAGATGGTAGTAAAGGGAGGAATTTTTGCTGAGACCAAATTTAACAGAATTATGGCCCTTTGTTGATTATTTCACTGTATACTATGTAGAAATTTTGTGAACGCAACTCCTCTTAAACCGGATGGCAGATTTTGCTTAAACTTCCAGGGATGAACAACCTTAATGTGTAGATGGTAGTATAGGAAGGAAGTTTTGCTGAGACCAAATTTAACAGAATTATGGCCCTTTGTTGATTTTTTCACTATATACTATGTAGAAATTTTGTGAACACAACTCCTCTTAAACCGGATGGCAGATTTTGCTTAAACTTCCAGGGATGAACAACCTTAATGTGTAGATGGTAGTAAAGGAAGGAATTTTTGCTGGGACCAAATTTAACAGAATTATGGCCCTTTGTTGATTTTTAGTTTTCAACTTGTGGCACATGTAGTCCAAAAAATATTTGACCTAGAGTCATAAGATTGACAGAACAGTATAATAATAAAGGTGGAAAATGAAATTTACCTTTGTTAAAATGCATAAACAATAAGAAAACCCCTCAATACCTATAATCTACCGGTTTGCTCTCTATATGTAAATAAGTATTAAAGTGGACAATTTGTTTTCCAAATTTCCATTTTTAGAAACAAATGTTACTGGCTCTCGGAATGCTGTGTTGTGAACAGGGCTTAATACTAACAGTGATATGATGCACTTTAACAAGATAAAGTTACTGAAATACTTAGTTTAAAACAACACAGAATTGTTTTTCCAATAAAAAATAAATTCTGAAGGCAGCTTTAAACATAATTAGTAACATTTTACCAAATGATGTATGGTATGTTATTTAATTGATTTTCTCGAGAGAAAAAAATCAACATTCATAAATTGGTCAGTAAAAAATCTTTAGCGTTATATGTATCAGTGGTTGGTTGGGTGTTGGGGTAATTTCATGACATAAGTTATACATCAGATCATCTTAACAATTGGGTGTTGAGACCTTAGATCCCAACATGAACGTTATGATGGGGTTGTAATGTACAGTAAAAACCTGCTTTGCAACCACCCAGATTTTTGGACAAACCCACTAATGAGTGATATTTATGAGACCAAACATTTAATTCTTCCTTATTTCTGTGGTTGCTAACTTTGATATTGAGACTATCCCATGATTAGTTATCCAATAACACAACTAGTAAATTCAGTCCAGTTTTATTATTACTGAACCTTTTCCCCCTAAAACATGTACATTTGGGGCTGTCTTAGGGTGTCTTATTCAAAGAAAAAATTCTTTAAAATTGTGCAGTTTTCCCCAGAAATTGAATTTAAGTTTTTTCTTCCTCTTTTGCAAAAATACAGTAGTCAGTATAATTTTCCCCTAAAATTAAGGTTGGGGCTGCTTCCCCAACCTGTAAAACAAGCCCTGATGTACATATGGAAACACTTATACTAGCACAGGCACTTTTCTCCTGCATGTAGTATGCTCTACTCTTAAGGAGACAGTCAAGTACTTTAAGGTAACCAGTTATTATGCTATTTATTCAAATTTCTGTATATTAATTTTTGTTAATGTTACCAACTTTATTCTTTCAGGGGAATGAAAACTCTCTTCCTATGGAACTATGTTCCAATTGTAAGTAACATTTTTCTTTAATTATTCACCAAAACTTTTTAAAAATTTGTATGGAAGTTTTTAAAACAACATTTCTGATCAATGTATCATTGGATAATATAATTATGATGTTTTTATACATCATACCTTGCTTCAGTAGTACTTTAAAGGCTTTACATTCTAGTTCAACTAAAGAACTTTTACTTTTGTCTCCCAGACTAATAGGTTAGTCAGAAAACCTTTTAAATTAATTTTTAAAATTCTGTATAATTATACTTGATGTAACAGGAAAGATAAATGTTGTCAAAATAATGAAGAACTGGATTATTAAACAGCACTAAAGTTATAGTTAGCTTATGGTTCTAGTCAGCTATTAGTCAAACAAGCCTTGACCAATGTCCATTCTTCAGGGCAGATATTTAGGAAATTTACTTTATAATTATATGAATATTTCAAAAGGAAAATCATTCAAGATATGTTCGACATTATGACTGTTGTACAATGATAAAAGAAGTTCAGAAAATCGCTATGCATTTAAAAAAATTTATCGTTTGGAGGTTGCTAAAAATTTTATTGTTAATATTTCAGTTGATGCAGATGAAATTAAAAGACTTGGAAAAAGATTCAGAAAGTTGGATTTAGATAATTCTGGAGCTCTCAGTGTTGAGGAATTTATGTCACTTCCTGAATTACAACAGAATCCCCTTGTTCAACGAGTTATAGACATTTTTGATACAGATGGTAATGGAGAAGTAGATTTTAAAGGTAATTATTATTATATGTTGTACAGAAGTGTTATACATTTAACTCTAATTGATATATCTGGATATTTTTAAATTAAAATTTGTTCCATGCAGTTACTGCTACTCACAAGGCTCCTAAGTTTACACAATTCTTCAAACAAGAAACAACAATGTCCAGTTTTGTACAGTTTAAGTTGCATATATTGTACTTCCTACTCAAGGTGTCACTGATGCTAAATAGATGTTGTTGTTTATGCATTTATTTATACTGGCTACCAGGACGAACCAATATGGGCCAGAATATCTGTGCACTGGTCATTTTACTCATAATATAAACATGAGAGTCGACTTTTCATGCAGATCTTCTTAAGCCTATTCTTCACACAGTTGTGGTCAAAAGAAGACAGTACTATGCAAGGCATCATGTCTAACAAAAACGGCTCTTTTTTGTGCCACCCTCCTAAGTCACAACAGGTCAGCCAAATGTCCCTGTTACCTAGGTTGACTTGACCTTGACATGTTGTGTGCCTAAAAACAGATTTTTCTTCTGCTGTTTATGGAGGAGAGATCACTCTTCTGGTCATCATTTGCAATAAGATTTTGTCCAACATAAAATGGCCATTAAATAACCACTAACAAGCAGCAGTCAACATAGGAAGCTATGTTTTGTTTAAATTGTAGAGTAAATTAATCAAAAGCATATTTTCTATTCTAATTTGATGTGAATATACCATGCATGGATCTGTATCGGTATTTTGAGGTTGCTAGGCTCATGGTCAAAGATATAGAATTTTTTTATTTCATACACAGTTTATCTCTTAACTGTTTCAAATCATCATAAGAACATCTTTGTCTCAATATTGAAAATGTTTACATGTTATTAATTTGAATCATTCATGTTCACAATATTGCTACATTTAGCAGCAATTAAGTAAAAAAATCATTTATTGACACAAAAAAGATATAAATATTTACTGATTGAAAACAAAAATGCATTTAAGGTGTATTGAAAAAAAGTTACACATGGGAGCCTTTTGGATACAGTGTAAGATAGGCAAAAGTGTTGTATTTGCTTTTTATTGATGATTTTGCATAATGATAATAAGATTTAATATTCTGATATATTTTAAGATTGTACGTGTCATCAACTGTCAGAACTTTATATGTGATGTTCTATGAGATTTTACATATAAATGTTCCAGACAAAGTCAAATTTCTATGTTTTAAGAAAACTTTACAACAAAATACTGAAGCTGTGTATACAGAGTCTCTGAGACCTGTCAGCTTCAGTATTAGTCTACTAACTGGAATACTTTTGTTTTAGTAAATGGTAAAATTTAAAACCTTATTTTATGGTTTTTCTTGTTGTTGTTGTTGTTATTGTAAATTGTTGTTTATAAATAAATAAATAAGAGACAAAATCTATGTACAGTACATGTAATTTAAAATTAGTCATATATATATTAGTATAACTATATTACAAAATATTTCAATAAGTTATAATCATTTCCTTTACAGATTTGTTTTAAATGTGAATTTACTTTATAATATTCCTGAAAATACATTCTGCCTACAATTTCAAAATAATATAAAACTATTTCCAATTAAAGCAGCATGCCTTCAGAAAAAATGCTAATTTTTATGAAAATTTTGAAAATGATTTTTAAGGTAAAATATTGTGAGCTAATCAAAGAAAGTAATTTACAGTTTGCCTTAGGCTTTTACTATCCGCACAAATTACCATAAATAGGTCAAAATAAGCAAAAATAGTTCTTACTGCTATAATTATGCAGAAGAAATATAGTGATTAATAAATACTGCAAAATGAGTCTTAAAGACTGCCTCCATGGTCGAGGGGTTAGAGTCGATGACTTCTAATCCAGTTACCTCTCTGACGTGGGTTCGATCCACGGGAGATGCTTTGGTAGTTTAGCTCGGAGGAAGGTAGTCTAGTACTGGTGTAACTCTCCAGGAACAATGGTTAGGAAACTACCCGCCTATATGACTGAAATACTGTTGGAAAAAGGTTTACAATGAAACAAACAAACAAACAAATTTCACATAACATGTAAATTATTACTTGAATCTTGAATCTTTTTATAAAAATCCTAGTAAATTTTCACAAGTTTGATTTTCTTGAAATATTATGGCTGGTCTGAAGCTTTAAGAATGTAACAAAAATATATATCCGCTTATTTTCAGTCTTTTCTTTATTTTGGTTTATTTGGTGTAATGATATATTTACTGTGTTGTCCTTTTCATTGTATAAGTTCATTTTATTATTTTATGTTTGTAATCAAAAATATATTACATATTTTCTACATTTAAGAATAGCCATTTAGAAACCAAAATTTAATAACATAATGCATTATTTCAGTGATTCATTTTCACAGTTGCATTTTTTGCTTAACTTGGTGAAGTATTACTTGAAAGAGATGTTCTTCTCAGCATCCAAATCTGTTTTTTTTAAAATGTGCAGTTACATATTTTTTCCTTTTTGAACTGGAAGATTTCTGATGGTTCCTTTAACTCACCAATTGAAAGTATTTGCATAAAACTTTATAATTGTTTAATTTGTGATCATAATTGTAGGCCATAGTCAAGGACACAATACTCAATGATTTTGACTGAATTATACCTTTGAGGTCAAAAAGTCTTAAAACATCAAATTGAAATTTTTTATATAGATCAAATGAAGGAAGTACTTTAAATGGAAATAATCTATGAGTTATAGTCAAGAAATATACTAAAAATAAATTGAAGATCAATTTTTCTGGCAGTTCTGAGACTGATTTCAGCAAAAAGCATTGTAAAGCTTTTCATTTTAGGGTAATTTTTAAAATAAAAATGAGTATTCTGGAAAAAGTCGGGTGAGGGAATGATATGAAAATTAGCATACTGTCAAGTTATTGGCCCAGACCTATATCAAACAGTATACAAGTCTTGCAAAAATGTTTCGTTCAAATATATTTACAGTCCCATCTTGTCAAAAAACCTCAATGAAGTCCCTTTAAAGTGTCCTGGTAAAGATTTTCATTCATATTGCAAGGTTATCTTTAAAAAAACATTTGAAACTTTACTCACATTATTATAGGGATTATAATTGTAGCACACTGTCTATATTCAGTGATTTTTTCCCTGAACTTTACAGCCAAATAAAGGCTGTTTCCCCTAGCCCAAAATAGGTATAATTTCCCCTGAAAATGCTAATATTTCCCCCTAAAATTCCTTGTGCACATTCTTCACCAGAACCACAACTTAACAGCAGCTAGAAGACAGTAAATGCTGTCCCTATAGATAGCCTCTGCTATGTACAATACATGTTAAATTGAATTGAAATTGAAAATTTTATAAAATGTGCGGGTAAATTCATAATTTGATTTCCCCCTTTTCCGATTTATTGCGCTATATTTTCCCCTTCAGAAAGCCACAGGTTATTTTGAAAATTGAAAAAAAAAAACACTGATATTTTTGACAGAAATACATGTAATTATACCCTTTTTCAACATTTCTGAAAAAAATGTATATTAAGATGGTTTTTTAAAGCGGTTTCTTACCGATAAATCACTTGTTTTGTGGACAGCTCTTGTTGAGGATTGTTTTAAGAAAGAGAGAACATTATTTCCCTGCTATATTTATTGTTCCTGAAGGTATAATTGACCTAAATGATGCAGTAATGATGGTGCTGTATGAAATAAGCTTTTGTTTGCTCATATTCTCTGTTATAAATTGTAACCTTCATTGATTTTAGGTCTGATCTTATATTGTAAATTCACTCAATCTCTCCTTGGAGACACAATATATCTAGACAAGTTGTGTGGCAGAGCTGTTACATTTCTAACACATTCCTGTCTTGGGATGCTACTGATAATTTTTTAAACTTTTATGGCTTTTAAGCAATATAAGTGACTAATGTATAAATATCATGTCTGTTACAGGAAATTCAGGTTTTATTCTTTCCCTTTCAGTATTGGTAGAACCTATAATTATTAGATAACAATAGTTTTATAAGTCCAAGATCAAATTCCTTATGTTTTCATCTTAATGTTAGATATTTAAGTATTTGTCTTTGTATCATGAAACATTGATATAAATAAGAACTGTGATTAGAAAATTTTGATAACCAGTTTATTTATTTCAAATTATATGTAAGTCATTATCAATTATATATCTTTTAGTTTGTGTCTGTTTTGATAATTTTTGCTGATAAATATTTGTTATATTATTTTATATAAGTCATGAAGTAATTTTAGAGTTTATCTTGCTATAGCAGACAAGGTACATGTATAGAGAATGTATAATTGACAGTGCAGTGTTTATCTACTATCAGACTCTGGCACATGGTAACAGAAAACGCAGCTTTCCTCATATCTGCTCCACATTGGTAATTCATAATTCACAAAACTTCCACATCCAAAAAACTGTTGAATTTTTTTTAAATTTTTGTAGGTATTGTGAATATGGTTATTCTTAATTTGACCTCATTTTGTGATGGTGTTTCACATTGTAAGATGAATAAAGAACAAGCTAAAAACTTGTAAGATATAAATTGCTTTCTTTTTTTTGACAGGAAGGCATTTAATACAAGATTTTGTTATTTTAACATTTCTGTTTTACACAGTTTACAGTTTGTCTAAACTTAAACCATATGTTAATTATGTTTTTGTCATTGTCTCAAATTTGTTAATTGTCTCTTACAATAGAAATCATACTTTATTAAATATGATTTTATAAATTGTGTATCTGAAAAAATTCAACCAAGTCAACTTTACTATACCTTGATGATATGAAAAGATAAGTGACGTACAATAGCCTAAAGATTTTTATTGTGTATAAAACTGTACCTGGACTTGAGAACAGTCGAAAAAAAGAATAATTAACATACTTAGCTTTGAAGACGGTACCTCTCCTGGCTTTAGAGACAGTTACCATTCTTGGCTTTATCAACATTTTGAACAAAGATTATTTCTGGCCTTATCAAGATTTTTAACAGGGAGTCAACATATAAAATGGTACCTATTCTGGCTTAAAAGACATTTTGAAGAGACTTTTGAAAAGAGGTACCTTTCCTGGTCTTAAAGAGATTTTAAAGAGATTTTGAACACAGAGAGATTTACCATTGCTGGCTTTGAAGTTATTTTGAAGAGAAAGTTACCTTATCTAGCTTTGGAGTCATTTGGTTGGAAGAATAATCTTACCCAAAGAAAATAGTGTAGTACAAGAATCAATTGGATCAGACCTATGGGGACTTGTAGAGAAAATTACTTGACAATGATTTAAAGACATTATGTAAACAACTTGAGTGGACCATCACAGGGAGACATCAGATTGGGTAAAGACAATCAATGTGCCATGCCTCAAAATATACAGTAAATACTATTCCATACAGGGATAATTTTGTTATAAATAAACATAGTTATAAAGTTGTAGTTTTATTCTCTATGTATTTTACTGTAGAGTGATGGCAGGAGCATATTACCTCACTTGGCTGTCACAGTTATGTTGGAAGCAAATATCAATTTTCATTCCTCTATTCATTATTCATGATACTCTGTGAAAAGGTTTGAAATTGCATCCTTGTTCAGGCAATATCAATGCTGTATAATATCATGCTTCAACAACCAAATATTCTCTTACAGTTTGTTTTATGCAATTTGTTTAGTGAAAAAGATATAACAAAACCTCTGATAAATATATTGAAGGTGACTGGTTATCATAGAAAAATAGAAGGAAAATAGTCATTATAAACTAATGGGAATGTTTTGCCACAGTTTGTCAGCAGATCTCATTTTAAACTGCACTAATTAGAAAGTTTGAACTGTCTCAGTGTTTATTGATTTGATACATCAATGATAGGACAGATCATTTCCATGCTTCATGGATGGGTTTATATCATTTTTCATAGATTAAAGCATTAGTGTTACAAGAGCTAGTGTAATGGTGGCATATTTGTTTTGATACAGCTCACTTGGTCCTGTGTATGGGTTATACCTGATGTAAATCAGTAAATATTGATCCTAGTAACAAGAATTTTGCAATATTTCAGCCCAGACTATGGGGGAGTAATTCAATTGTTCCTCACAAAATCAATAGGAATATTATTTAGCTTCTAAGCCTCGTAATACAAGTAGTCTTGATAACAGGAAATTAAGCAAATAGCCCCGAACTTACAGCAATCTGTTGCCTGTTCTATAATATATTATATCTATTTTCCAATACCATACCATACAATACAATCGGCTATGGAACTGAACACTATTTCTATTGTAAAATTGTCACAATAAATTGTTGATGCAAGTGTGCAACTTTATAGGTCACCGTTTGTTAGATTTAATGATTTTCCCCCTTATCTATTCAAAGCAAAATGCCATATACATATGTAGGTAAGCTATGACTGATTTACTAGTAACTGACTATTTAAGAGATAAATTATATATATCAATCGGTTATTTCTTACTGTAGCAAACTAATGCAAACATTTGAATTTGATGTGTACTTACTTAATTAAACTGAAATGCATAAATTTAACAACAACCATGCTTTGAAATGGTGGTGTCATTTCATATACTGTCAGAGGTCAGTGTTTTTCATATCATTGTACATTTGTATTTTGATTTACCCAGGTAAACTCTTTAGCTGGTAATGATGAAATGTTTCGTATGTATGAAGTGTTCAAACATTCTACATGTATATTGGCCATTCATTTCAATGATATGTATATGCAAGTGTTTATGTATTTCAGAATTCATTGAAGGTGTGTCACAATTTAGTGTTAAAGGAGATAAGGAGAGCAAGTTGCGTTGTAAGTATTGGTGCTTATGTTGAGACCATGTTAAAGCATCTATATTCCTGTTGTTCAGTCATGTTACCTTCTTTATTGCAGAATTCATAGACGGTGTATCGCAATTTAGTGTTAAGTGTAACAAAGAGTCAAAACTTAGGTGTAAGTATGAAACACAAAGAGTGATTTAACATTTCTCGCTTGTACAAGCAGCAGCCAGTTAGTCTTTGTAAGAGACAGTCTTCTAACTGCTACATTTTGTCTGTCATATCATTTTGCTAGTTTAGTTTTAACTGCTAATTTTTATCTGCTTATTAATCAGTTACTCTTTTACATGTTTTTTATGTAAATAATTTTAAAATACCACAACAATTCTAAAATTACTCAATTTATAGTGCCTCCTTACACCCTTTCAACAGTAAAATTAATCAAGAAAAATGCTGTAAGCACATAAAAGTGCATAGATATAAGTGAATAAATTATCTCCTGCTAAGGTTGGGCTAGCATAAATATTGGAAGCAAATGCCCCAAAACAAGTTAATGACAAAAAGAAAGAGAGATAGAGTATATGACAAAAAGAAAGAGAGATAAAGTATATGACAAAAAGAAAGAGAGATAATGTATATGACAAAAAGAAAGAGAGATAAAGTATATGACAAAAAGAAAGAGAGATAGAGTATATGACAAAAAGAAAGAGAGATAGAGTATATGACAAAAAGAAAGAGAGATAGAGTATATGACAAAGAAATAGAGATAAAGTATATGACAAAAAGAAAAAGAGATAGAGTATTAAATGACAAAATGAAAGAGAGATACAGTATATGACAAAAAAAAAGAGAGATAGAGTACATGACAAAAAGAAAGAGAGATAAAGTATATCAGAAAGAGAGATAGAGTTTATGACAAAAAGAAAGAGAGATAGAGTAAATGTCAAAAAAAGAAAGAGAGATAGAGTAAATGTCAAAAAAAGAAAGAGAGAGTAAATGTCAAAAAAAAGATAGAGAGATAGAATATATCACAATGAATTGAATATAATTAATAGTTACCTGATATTGGTACAGCATCCATAAAAACTAAATTGATTGACTACCAAATGATTATTTATGTAACCATCAAAGATTTGTGCTTTTAAAACTGAAACTAAAAATAAATATCAAATTAAACATTTTTTCATATGGAGATTTTACTCTTTTTTTTTCAGAAATATCAAAATAATTGAAAAATAGTGCATCTATCAAGTGTATTAAAGTCATTTGATTAGTGATGGATGTTAAGAGCAATTCATTAATATGCTTTACTTAAGGCTGCTTTAACCAAGAAAACAATAAGCTAGTCCGTTTACTAACCTTCAAAAAATATATGTGGCTCTCATGTTATTAACCCGAAAAAATGAAAATTGTTCAATTATTAACAGAATTGAAAATTTACATGCAAGAGCATTTGTTGGAAAAAAAAAAACTGTAAATTATTTAAAATGACCAAACAAGCTTGATTGGAATGATCTATGATGCAGTTAGTTTAAGAGTATGCAGCTTTAGCTTCTGTTGAAAATGATTTTGAGACTTGCACATATATGACAGACAGATTTCAGCAAGGGAGACAACTGGGCTAGAAGCTGTGTTACAAGTGATGAAAACAATGTATCTTTTTTACTCAGGACTAGTCTTTACAGTGTAGCATGCATTTACTTTTACACATCATTACGGTATGAATTACACAAGTAAATCAGGTTCTAACTGGTTATAGATTATCTTGGTAATACTATATACTAACTAGATTAGTTATAATATATGATAATCCATTCATCCCCAAACTTTTATGCTTCCTTATTTTCATTCTAATACTGTGTTACATACAGTTAATGTAAGATTGTTATTTTCATAATTATTATGCCCCCACTTTGAAAAAGTGGTTTCAAAGTGGGGGTATATTGCTTTGCACTTGTCGGTCCGTTGGTCCGTAGACCAAATGGTTTCCGAGTGATAACTAAAGAACCCTTAGGCCTAGGAACTTCAAACTTGGAATAGTGATTGGTCATGACAAGTAGATGACCCTTATTGATTTTGGGGTCAAGGGGTTAAAGGTCAAGGTCACATTGACCTTGTAAGCAAAAACGGTTTCCGATCAATAACTAAAGAACCCTTAGGCCTAGGAACTTCAAACTTAGCATGGTGATTAGTCATGATCAGTAGATGACCCCTATTGATTTTGGGGTCAAGGGGTCAAAGGTCAAGGTCACATTGACCTCTTAGGTAAAAACGGTTTCCGATCAATAACTAAAGAACGCTTAGGCCTAGGAACTTCAAACTTGGTATGGTCATTGGTCATGACCAGCAGATGACCCCTATTGATTTTGGGGTTAAAGGGTCAAAGGTCAAGGTCACATTGACCTTGTAGGTAAAAACGGTTTCCGATCAATAACTAAAGAACCTTTAGGCCTAGGAACTTCAAACTTGGTATGGTGATTGGTCATGACAAGTAGATGACCCCTATTGATTTTGGGGTCAAAGGTCAAGATCACATTGACCTTGTAAGCAAAAACTGTTTCCGATCAATAACTAAAGAACCCTGAGGCCTAGGAACTTCAAACTTGATATGGTGATTGGTTATGACCAGCAGATGACCCCTATTGATTTTGGGGTCAAGGGGTCAAAGGTCAAGGTCACATTGACTTAGTAGGTAAAAACGGTTTCTGATCAATAACTACAGAACCTTAAGGCCTAGGAACTTCAAACTTGGTATGGTGATTGGTCATGACAAGTAGATGACCCCTATTGATTTTGAGGTCAAAGGTCAAGATCACATTGACCTTGTAAGCAAAAACTGTTTCCGATCAATAACTAAAGAACCCTTAGGCCTAGGAACATTAAACTAGGTATGGTGTTTGGTCATGACCAGCAGATGACCCCTATTGATTTTGGGGTTAAGGGGTCAAAGGTCAAGGTCACATTGACCTTGTAGGTAAAAATGGTTTCCAATCAATAACTTAAGAACCCTTAGGCCTAGGAACTTCAAACTTAGCATGGTGATTGGTCATGACCAGCAGATGACCCCTATTGATTTTGGGTCAAGGGGTCAAAGGTCAAGGTCACATTGACCTTGTAGGTAAAAACGGTTTCTGATTAATAACTTAAGAACGCTTAGGCCTAGAAACTTCAAACTTGGTATGATGGTTGGTCATGACCAGCAGATGACCCCTATTGATTTTTGGGTCAAGGGGTCAAAGGTCAAGGTCACATTGACCTTGTAGGTAAAAACGGTTTCCGATCAATAACTAAAGAACGCTTAGGCCTAGAAACTTCAAACTTGGTATGATGATTGGTCATTGCGAGCAGATGACCCCTATTGATTTTGGGGTCAAGGGGTCCAAGGTCAAGGTCACACTGACCTTGTAGGTAAAAACAGTTTCCGATCAATAACTAAAGAACACTTAGGCCTAGGAACTTCAAACTTTGTATGATGATTGGTCATGTTCAGCAGATGACCCCTATTGATTTTGGGGTCAAGGGGTCAATGTCATATTGACCTTGTACTTAATGAAGGTTCCTGACCAATAACTCAACAACTCAAGTTGCCTTGGTTGATATTTTGATTTTAAACTAAAAATGCTTTTGGTATACACATTTGAAGGTCTTATGTAATATAACAACTTGGCTGTCATTAATGAGGCCTACATTATTCATGAAATTTATGCATATATTATTTGGTAAGATTTGTAATAACTTAAATTGCTGCACACAACCTATGGGGTCACAATAATTATTACCTTGTGACTAGTCATGACCAGTAGATACTAGATAACCCTTACTAATTTATTGTTCACTGGGTCAGAAGTCATGCATAATAACCTGATCACATGACTTATTGGCTGCCGATAGGGGGCATACATGTTTTACAAACATATCTTGTTGAGAATAAAGTTTTAACCATTATTATTAATATAAGTCATTGGTTGTTTTATGTCTAGAGTACTTGTCAGTATTGAAACTTTAATGAAGAAATTTTCTTGAAAGATTTGTGTGTACCTTCAAAAGTTATTTAGTAACTTATGTGATTAAACATAAACAATAAACCACTGAACATTTTACTTCAATCGAAGGTTTCCAAAAATGTTTGGCAAAGGACATGCTACTAAAAATAAAATCAATGTGATTACATTGCTTACTATAAATGTTCTTTGTAAACTTGGTACCTGGTTACTAGATATTTAAAGTATGTATTAAAAGACGAACAGATGTTTCTAGGGATGAATGGATTCTCATATTTTAACATTATAAGTGCACATCTCTTCCAAAACTATTATACTTATAAGAATTGCTGGTATCTTGGTGGGTAATAAAATCAGCTTGAATGTAATTCATACTTCACTGACCATTTATATTTACAAACATTTGCATACAAACTTTGTAGATTTTTTTACATTATCACATTTTTGTATTTTTGATAATCCAGAGAACATGTTATCAACAAATGTTAGGGTTGCATATTGTTAATACATAGATTATTTTGTTTATGGAAAGCAAAGTATATTTCTATGATGCACATAATATAATATACTGTCTATGCATGATTCTGTAATTTTCAGAATACCAACCTTTATCCCTAATGATTCCCCTGTCCCATTAACATGTTGGTAGTTTTAATCATTTACTAAATTTATCACCCATGAACTACTAAATATTGTTTTACGACATAACCATGATAATATAAAAGGTTACACCATCAGTATATATATATACATGGTGTCAATGTGTCATTCCTCCTTAGTAATTTAAAGAAACCTGATATTATTGTGTCTGTGTAGTTCTAGAGTTATTAAATATTCAATGCTTTATATTCAACTTTTCAAGATAATTATAGAAGTTACAAAACCAAACGAAAGACAAAATTTTGATCTGATCAGCCAAAAATACATGCTAAGAACTTGACTATCAAATTGCAGAATATTTATCTGATACACTAAAGTAAGAAATAGCCTTGGAAAAGGTATCTCGCCTGCATTTTATTGTGATGACAATATTTCCATTGTTTGGGAAAAGTTAATGTATAGGATGAGGTTCTTCCAACTGGCAGCTAGAAAATAATCTAAGGGTTTTCCAGGGGTCCCACTGTTTGCTGATAACATGTCCAATGCTTTTTTAACCCTTTTATCCTCCAAATTTTTATCACAAGATGCAGTGTGCTGTGAATTAATACATTAAAATCAGTTTTGTTAGTTTTATTCTATTTTATGTATTTTACTGAAGAGATTTTCTTGTTTGTGTATTTTTTTTATAAAGAAAGCAAATGTGTGTATGTGTGTGTATGATTTTATATTAACAGCTTCTGTTAATTCTTGTAGTTTTAGAAATCATTTCTCTTTAACATATGTTACAGGGTATCATAAAACAATTGCTGAGAACATAAATTATACAAATATGCAAAAATTTAACAGTCTTGAGTATCAGTCTCTGACTATATTTAATGAAATATTTTATGTTTAATTGATATTTTTTTTTACTAGTTCAATTAACAATGAGAAACAGAAGTTGAGTTATGATTCCCTGTATAAATTATCTTCTCATCGGATTTTATTTAGTATTGATTTTAATATTTACTGCTAGTTTGATAGAATGATTTTAATTGCAGGAACTGAACAGTTTTTACACCAAGAAGTGATTACTTTTCTCTCATTGCTGTTTAATTATACCCCTCAACATCAGTACTGGGGTGGGGGATTTATTGGAAGCACTGCGTTTTGTCTGTCTGTCCATTCCCACTGTGTCTGCTCTGTATACCCTTAGAAGACTTATCTTCAAACTTTGCTGAAATGTTTACCTAAACAAGACGATGTGCAGAACCCATTCCACCCCTGTGACAGCTATGAATTCTTTTTCCCTTAAAGGATTACCTCAGTTTTGACTCCAATGTTTACCTGTACATATTTCAATGTGCCGCTTTGTAGCTGGGTGATCATTGTCAGATTTGAAAGTCAAATGTCTGCTCTACTTTATAAACTCTTTACCCTTGAAGTATTATTCAAATGTTCACATTAACAAGGTAATTTTCAGAACCTATGCACTCAAGGTTCAATAGCAAACAAGTTTGTGTATGTTTTATAAATCCAAGACCCCTTGAAGGATATTTTCCAAACCACATCAACAAAGTGATGTGCTGAACTGTATCATTGTCAGATGATCAAGGTCAAATATAAGACAATTTTATGTAAGCCCTATAATTTCTATGCTCTTTGAAGGGCTTAAGTCAAAGGTCCTCCTTCACATTTATGATTATAACTTAAATAAAATTCTCTTTCATGGAGATGGTAGGGGTTTTCATTACTCCTATGACTAGTTAAAATTTGTGTCAATTTTGAACAGAGTACACTTCCTAGTGAAAGTTATATCACATTTTGGTGGCTTGAAATTCATCATATGAATTTATATGAATTTATGTTTTATTGACTGAGATCTAAAATGATAAAATTATGTCTGTTTAAAGTTATGTTTATGTTGAATTTCCCAATAGCTCCAGTTATATATGATGAATATTGTATAATGTTAGCTTAAAGCCTGGCTCTCAGGGGAATTGGCAATTGCAAAATAAATATATAATTGATCTTAGTTGATGTAATATAAGAACTTTAGTATACGAGGGATGATCCAAAATAATATAAACTTTACTGTTGCTTAGATACAGGTGGTGAAATAAACCATAAATTGAAATTAATTGGAACCATAAAATATTAAAATAAGATAGAACAATAATATTTCATATAAAAATTGCAAGCATGCCTTGTAATTCTATAACTATAGTAATCTGTTTGCGGCACACTACCATTTTGTGACACCTGTTAGGTTATCCAGTGGACAGGAAACATTTTTTTTAAAAGGAAAATTGTTTTTCTAATGGCCTGGGCAGCCAAAGACAGGTAGGTCACGTTAAAAACTTAAAAAAGACAAATTATGACGCCATCAAGATAAAGTGAAATTAATTTGAAAAAAAGCTATGGACAGGTAGTTGTCTGGTACACATGTCACCAATCAAGTTAACAGTGTCTAAAATAAAAATGATATGTTATTTTGGATCATCCCTCGTAATAGCATTTCCCTTGTATGTTGCTCAAATTTATAAACAATCCCTTTAACTACTAACTTGAAGTTCCATGTTTGTAGTATAAGTGCATTTCCCAGATTTAACAGGGCAAAGGTCAAGTTTTTATGTAGTTGCTGTACCAACAGCATTCAGTCATTTATATTTTGATATTACATAGTTTTGACTAAATCTTGAAAAAGAACTTAGTAAAATATTGTCTGTTAAACTGAAGACATATTGCTGTTAATTATATAGCATTTACTCACAAAATCACAAAAATTATTGTAATGTTCACAGTAAAGTTAAGGAAGTAAAAGTTTCCATTGATTTCACAATTAGTCCACTTTGTATGAACTTGTATACATAGTGGAAATGTATTTTTGTGATATGGTTATAGGTACTGTCATAGTGATGACTTTCTTAAAAGGTTTCTTGAACATTCCTACATTAATGATTAAATAAGTTTTATCCTAAAAAAGAACATCTTGGAGCATCCTTTTTATTGACCTTATTTCCTAGTAAGCTGGAACAATCAACATGATGATTGACTTTGTCACTTGTAGGTTGATGCATTTTGGCTTTTGTGTTAAATGTCATAAAAAGACAAGTGTTCAGGCATGTTATAAATTGATATTTATGCCTATAAATTTGAATGTAAAGTATACAAAAATTGTACATACTGGTTGGTCTGTATTTTCCATAATAGACTGGTTACAAACTGGTTATTTCGGTGTTTCCATATTATACTGGTTGGCTAGTATTTTCCATATTAGACTGGTTACATACCAGTTGGTCAATATTTTCCATATTACACTGGTTACATACTGGTTGGTCAGTATTTTCAGTAAAAGACTGGTTACAGACTGGTTAATCAGTCTTTTCCTTGATAGACTGCTTAATCATACTTGTCTTTTTATGATAGTTTTGAATATTTAATTTGTATTTTTAAAAGCATCTTTCTGTCATATTTACAACGTGAAATGAGATTAAGCATTCTTTTAAAACTTTTTTTAAAGATACATTATAAATTGTATTAATTGATTTTGTAATTTGTTAATGTTATTATTCAATTTGTAAAATATTTGACAGCTGCAAGATGTAAGTTTTATTGTTAAATTTTGTTTGTTTAAACATTTCAAATGATTTGTAATTTTTTTTACAATTTTTTTTATGAAAAGAGACATTTACATTTTGGATACTTTATGTTTGTTTGAATGTTAACTGTTTTGTTTTTTAGATTGAAATGTTATAAAAGAAATTGTTTTTTGATAAAGACACTTTAGTCTTCTTAATTATCAGAATAAGTTTCTTATTTCTTTATTTATATGTTTATAACTGACATCTTTTCTTTTAAAAGTTAAATCTTATTGATGAATAAATTACATTTGACATTTAATGTCATGATGCCAAATGCCAGGGTTTATACAAACCTAGTGTTAATATGGACTTGACTAATGAAATATAGTTAGTATAGTACAAGAGGATCTTGTTAAAACAAGATAAATTTTGTTACAACAAAGGTATGAAAACATGCTTGAAAATAGTTTACCATTAGTGTAAGACATTATAAAGACTTGTCTACATCAAGTATTAAATTAGACCAGTCTTTAACATCCATGTAGCCTGACCAGGTCATATACAGGTGGCTACTCCATTTCAGTATTTTGACTCTGAACTCCCCTTTTAATAAAATGGAAATGTGTAAAGTCAAAATATTGGAATTTCATTACCAAAATGATTAAAAAGCTGCAATTAGATTTCGTGATTTTAATTATGCATAAGAAAATATTTCACAAATCTTTTTATTTCATGATAAAATAAACTGTAACTGTATAAAACTCTATAAATCATTGTTTACAACTTTTGATTGACATTTTTCAAGTATTTTCTTAGGAATATGCCATTTACAACATTAGTCTTTCTTGAGTCTAATGAGCATAGGTCATAGTTTACCTTTGATGAAAACATAATGTCAAGACATACACGTATATATCATGAGGAAAAATTGGAATGATTTACAATAGAAGTTAATGTTGTATTTTACAGTTGCATTTAAGATATATGACATGGATAAAGATGGGTACATATCAAATGGTGAGCTGTACCAAGTATTAAAAATGATGGTAGGCAGTAACTTGAAGGATCATCAACTCCAGCAGATAGTGGACAAAACAATAATACATGCAGATAGTGATGGTGATGGAAAAATCTCATTCGAAGAATTTTGTGCAGTAAGATTATTCTATTAATGCTGGTGATATCTTAAATATTAATGGATGAAAGTCAGAGGTTATTTTTACCAAGATTAACTGAGAGTGATGTCATTCAGCTTTTTGCTTGACCTTTTAAGGAAAATAGGCCTATCCTAATCTGGGCATCACTTAACACTTTGGTTAATGTTTATGTACAAATTCTGGTCCAACATCATATGTGAACCTATAAAAAATCCTGGTTAAAAGTTTGCATGTAAATCAAAAATCAAAACTACTAAAGATATTCACTTGAATTTAAATACATGTCTTCATGACCATAACTGAAGGTCTCTTTGTAAGGCCCACAATTCTTGACATGGATTTTTGATTGTGAACTTGCAAAATTCTTGGTATGTAACATGGATCATACTAAAGGTTATGGGTGTCTTTGTGACCATAATTGGATGTCATTATCTAAGCCACATGAGTCTGATGTAGTTAAAGGCTTTTGCTTTTGCTGATCAAGCGCTGAGAATAGTCAAACTTGTTGTCCTACTGACAGCTTTTGTTGTGTAACAGAGATGAAGTTTACCAGTGTAAACACTTGCCTTTCTACCTTTTCTTTAAACAACATTTACTATCACTTTATGAGTATCATCATAATTTCATGAAAATTTTCCTATGATCCTATTGAAAGTTACACTCATGCAGAAAAGTCATTAATATAATCTTGTGATAAAAAACCTTGTTATGCCCACTAGAAGAAAAGATATATATTGTTTTGCAAATGTTGATCCGAAAATTTAGATATTCATTTGTAGAAATATGAATTTGAATTTTTCTATTTCAGGTTGTAGGAGGAATGGATGTCCATAAAAAGATGGTTGTAGAAATATAGGGACAACAGACATTAGCAAATTCCATTTTAGGCATTTCATATACTTTGTTCTTTCAATTTTTATACATAAAAGTAATATGAGTGGCCATAATAAGAAATGGTTATTGTGGTATTTTGGTATTAGACAAGAAAAAATTCCATTTTGTTCATTTTATACATTACATAAACTGTGTTTCCATGACAACTTCACATAAAGCAGCCAATCAGGATTATAGTGGAAGATTTTTGAGCTTTCACTTGGACTATTTTATATATTAACAGAAAAAGAAATTGAAAAGTACAGGAAAAGAAAGGAAGATTTGAATCAGAATTTACTTGTATGTTTAAGAAGAGAACTCGATAGAACAGCTGTGCTCACTCAGTAATGGTAGAATGTAAACTGAACAATTTGTTGAACGAAAAAATTTGTCCATGTAATCTGTTTAATTATTTCTGTTAAGTATTTCAATTTTTAATCAATGCTGACAAGATTATTTTGGTATTAGATACTGTGAACAAAACACATTTATTAGGAAGTGATGGGAGTATAAACATACTTTACAGAACAAACTGTTGGGAGGTTCTTACTCTATATTTTACTCATGTAGCTGGATATCTAGTTAACTATTTGCCTGGTATGTCTAATAAAGCTTTAATATACAGATACCAATAAACAAGTTTATGATCATTTGAATGTTTTTGGTATGATGTGCTGGTATACTGAGACTAACATGAACATAGAATTTATAAGTCTGGTAGAAGATTATAGAATAAATAGAAAAATTCTTTAATTTAATGATAAGTCAAATTATTAATAGTGTTATGCATCTAGGTGTAACTAAGAATAGAAATTAATAACTGTATAGGGGGGGATTGATTTGTGATGTTTATTTTCACTATATTCATATTTCTTGGAGAATCTGGTCGTCGAACTTAACAGTTTGCTGGATTTTTTTTCTCACTAAATCAGGCTAAAGTAAATGACTTTTGATCATTCAATGTGTTTCTAACTTGTTTTCAAAATTATTTATATAAAAAACTTAATAATTTACTAGTTATCATGAAAATCAATAAACTGTATTTATAACCTGTATTATTCAGAATGTGATGATTCAGTATTGGCAGCCTTTCAAACAAGCATACCAATTTTACCAATTTCAACTTAGCAAAAATGATTTTCCACATTTAAGAAATATATGCGGATAAATGAACCTGTGAATCAGGCCACAGGATAGAAAGAACCAGCAAATTTAAAGCCCTATACTGTAATTACAGTTAAGTTAAATTCTTTAAAAAATAAATGATGAATAATTGTTATTATATGCAATATTGATCAGAAAGTATAATTATTAACAGTATAGTAACTGGTATCACTTGATAAATTTTTTTTAAAAGCATTAAATCTCATTATGTATACATTAATTCATGAAATAGAAAAGTAGTTCTGTATATTTTCCAATATACCTTGCACTTTTATAATTTTTTTATCAAGGATATGTCGTGGATTTAAGGAAATACAATTATTTGATTTTCAGCTTGGTCTGATAATTATAAAGCTAGTTTTGAGTCTTATTATTTAATTTGAGTCTCAATTATTTAAATTTTATTTTCTCTATATTTAAACACATGTATGGATATTAAGCTCAGTATATAGACCTGTTTAAATGTCATCCTATAATCTAGAATGTTAATTTCATCTGGTTACTTCAAATGCACTATTATTGTAATATATTCCATGATTTATTGATTCTAGAATTTTATAAATTTTGTAAATATTGTACTTTTTCTTAGAGAAAATCTAGCATTTTTTAAAAATAAATTGAGCCGCGTCACGACAAAACCAACATAGTGCGTTTGCTACCAGCATGGATCCAGACCAGCCTGCGCATCCGCGCAGTCTGATCAGGATCCATGCTGTTCGCTTACCAACTCTATTACCAAGTAGAGAAACTGATAGCGAACAGCATGGATCCTGATCAGACTGCAGGGATGCACAGGCTGGTATGGATCCATGCTGGTCGCAAACGCACTATGTTGGTTTTGTCGAGACACAACTCAATTATCTCCTATATTTACCCTTTTATTGTTTGCTGAAAGTAAGGTGTATGTATATCAGTTGATCATTATTTATAACACACATTTATGAATCATGCACAGCACAATAATGTTGACACTTTAAAGTTCACTTATGTAAGGCTTTATTAATATATTTAAATTTGTATTTAACTATTTGTTTTTTCTAATCAGAAAGTGAAAAAATGTTACTTACTGTACATGTGATGACTAAGCACTAAAATGCCCAATTCAAGATAAGCTTACATATAAAATTAGTTTCAGCTTTGAAGTATCCTATAAGTCAGGAAGACTTTTTGAACATTCTGACCTTGTGCAACAGTGACATAAAATATATAGAAAAACTGTTCATTTGACAAATTCTTTGTTGAATGATACACAATTAAGAAGATATATCATTTTAAAAGTTTATCTCGTTAAGTATATCATGCTATTATAATTAGAATAGAATGGAAGGAAATTGTTAACATAATAATATTGTTATTCTAGGATGTCTTAAGTTCTGTGACAAGGATTTATTTTAACGTTGCTAAATAAGATATATAAGTTCACAAAATGTATATGTACAGGTTCCTTATAACAAAGGTATCTTATGAACATACAAGAGTTATATTTATATGATTATTGTCATTTACATTTCTTTAGAAATAGAACACAATTTATTTTATTGCAGAACAGGCAAAACATTTATCAATAATTATCTAATTATCTCCCTTTGTAGAAATTGTTGAATTTTACCTTATCTATGTTAGATATTCTTTCTAACTTATAATATTGGTAATTCTTCATTTGAACAACATGTTAATCATATAAGAGCATAAAATTTTTCAGGAACAGGGACATTTATATTGTATCTGATAGACTACAGATTCTATAAATTTATTGAAAGGTTCTTCAGAAATATTTAAATAAATTGAGTGACATGGTTTTATTATTTTTCTACTTGATTGTTTACAAGCAATTATCATTTTACAAGCATCAATATGATAGTTTACATACTGGGTGTTAGAGTGTAAGCAAACCAACATTTGAATGTTTCTAAATATAAGTGATTTAATAAATTTCGCCTCATGAATTTTTACATATATATGTACATGTATTTATATACTTATATGTTTCCAAAGCTACTTAAATCATCATATATTAAATGTTACATTTTTATTGTTTATTTCATTTATGTCATGATTTTTCTATACTCTATTTTCTTATTTTCCAAAACTTTTAATTGTGACATAGTCTTAAAGAATCTCATTAAGTAGAATTATGTTGAGGGTGTGAGTATTTAGAGAGAACTGTCTGTACATATAGTATAGAAATAGAAGTCCTATTATAATACCTGGTTCGAAGGTTACAATGAAAATCTCAATAGCTTATTCTCAGGTCATAAGAATTTGATTGTTCAGAAACTGCCACAGAATGTACACTGCCCCATGAAAACCCCAAAATTTGAGACAGTACTCAGATAAACCACAAGGCTAGTATTGTTTAGTTCCATGAAGCAGAATCAACAATGGTTCAAATACATTTGAAAGTTTCATCCCCATTGAGATAAATTAAATTATAGAAGTAGGGAAGTTAGTGAGGGGCTCCTAGGTGCCTGTGATTGATTAAACTCCTGAAAAGTATTGGTCTTGCTTGATAAAACAAGTGACAAGTACAAGGAAATAAAAGCGACAGAAGTCTTTAATCACTCATGTCCTCTACATATTTCTTCATTACTCATACCAATCTTCTAAGATAATACTATATGATAACTGTTCAAGATAAAACGAGAAAACTAGAATTGATAGTGTACAGGATACAGAATCATGCTCAAGTGTTAATCACATATAAATAGCTAGGGCCATAAGCATAAAAAGTTTCTATGATAAAGATAAAAACTGATTATTTACAGAGAACCATGTACGGATTTTGTATTGTGACGAAAAACATCAAATATCTGTTCACATAATTTGTAAGTTAAACTTTAATCAAGAATGAAATAATGCTGAAATGTAAAGTTTGTCATATAAATGATTCAGGCAGTAATACATACAATGTTTCATGTTGCGAATGATGATAAACATTTATTGAAATGAGGAACATTTGTCATCTGTTGGTTATAAAACTTGTATGTACGGATTTGTAAATTCATTATTTATATGATTTCAACCTGTGCTGGATTGTTACAATTTATAGCCTTTATTTATTGCCCTATTTCATTTTATATTGTAGAGATATATCTATATTTTTGAATAGTTAAATGCTTTTGTGTTCTTTTATTATTTTCTTCTTGTTTCGTGGGTGTTATGTTATTTGTTATTGTACATGACATATATTTATATACTAACAACATCTATTTTTAAATGCTGTGAAATAGTCTAAACAGATGCCCTATACCTCTATGAAATACCTGTTCCCTTTTTTCTTCTTTCATTCATATATTAAAGTAGGTACAACAAAGTTTGTTATTAGAAATCTTCCTTATATATATCTGAACAATACTACAAGTGAGATAGAAAAAAACATGATTCAAATATTTCATCACATGACATTAATTTTTATCTTCAACTCTATAGAAGTTCATGAAATTAGGACAATGTTGAACATACTATAAACAGCAATAAATGGTGTGTGTTTATTTCAAGAACAAGATCCAATCACAATTTCTACCTCAAATCAGTTGTAGAAAAGCATTGAACAAACTTTTTTCATTTTACCTGTATAAATAATACATGTGTTGATTGAACTAGTTACTAAAAGGAAAGTTACTCACTGTGTGTGTAGAGGTTAGAATATCTCCGGGACATATAATTTCTGAATTATAAAATCAAGAGTTTGTAGTTAATTACCTAATTAAATAATAGTTTCTTCTTCCTTTCACATTTTCGTTTTATACCAGTTTTTAATGGGTGAATAGTGCAAACACATAAGGATCCATATCAAGTTTTGTTCATTCCATCGTAGTTTTTTAATTATAAAATATTGAGCTTGCATTGTTTTGTGATAGACATGCTTTTTCCCTTTTTTGTCCAGTAAATTTTATATCTCTTAACTGAGTATGTTTTACCCTTTTTTCTTCATATTTAAATATTCTTTAAAGTTTAGGGCACCTTTGTATGTGTTAACGATACATTTCAGAAATGACAAGAATTAGTACCCTTAATTATATATTAATATAGTTTGCCAGTAACTTACAAAAATCCAGTTTAGAAGAATATATGATATGGGGAGATTTTTATGCCACCGCAGCATCTGCGATGCGGTGGCATATAGCGATTCACCTGTGTGTGTGTGCGTGTGTGTGTGTGTTTGTTTGTTTGTTTGTGTGTGTGTGTGTTATATAGATTATATAGTGAACTTAAAAAATCTTCTTGTGAAAAACCACTAGTCCAAATTTCAACCAAACTTGGCAGGATTGATCCTTGGGTGAAGCGCTTCCAAAGTTGTTCAAAGAATTTCATTCCATGCAGAAATCTGGTTGCCATGGCAACCAAAAGGAATTATAAGAATAAATTAAAAAAATCTTCTTGTAAAGACCCAAAAGGCCTAGAGCTTAGATATTTTGCATAAGGCATTGTCTGGTAGACCTCTACCAAGATTGTTCAAATTATAGCCCTGGGGTCAAAATCGGCCCCGCCCCGGGGTCATTGATTTTCACTATATATAGATATAGTAAAAAACTTAAAATACCTTCTTGTAAATACCCAAAAGGCCTAGAGCTTAGATATTTTTGCATAAGGCATTGTCTGGTAGACCCTTACCAAGATTGTTCAAATTATAGCCCTGGGGTCAAAATTGGCCCCGCCCCGGGGGTCTTTGATTTTCACATATATGTACATATAGTAAAAAACTTAAAATACCTTCTTGTAAAGACTCAAAAGCCTAGAGCTTAGATATTTTGCATAAGGGCATTGTCTGGTAGACCTCTACCAAGATTGTTCAAATTATAACCCTGGGATCAAAATCGGGCCCCGCCCCGGAGGTCATTGGTTTTCCTAAAAATGTATATAGTAAAAACTTATAGTAAAAACTTTTAAAACAATTTCTTCTAGCAATTGACAAATGCTAGAGATTAGATATTTGGCATGAAACATTGTGAAGTGAACTTCTAGCAAGATTGTTCAAATTATAGCCCTGGGGTCAAAATTGCCCCCGCCCCGGGGGTCATTGATTTTCAATATATACATATAGTAAATAAAAAAAATCTTATTGTCTGAAGGTACAAGGCTTAGAGCTTTAATATTTGTTAAATGATATCATCTATAGGTACTCTACCAAAGTTGTTCAAATTTTGCCTCTAGTGTCAAAATTAGCCCCGCCCCAGGGGCCATAGGTTTTCCTTATATGTATATAGTAAAAACTTAAAAAAATCATCTTCTCTAGATTTACAAAGGCTAGAGTTAAGATATTTTGCATGAAACATTATGTAGTGAACCTCTAGCAGGATTGTAAAAATTATAGCCCTGGGGTCAAAATTGGCCCCATCCCCAGGGGTCATTGATTTTCACTATGTACATATAGTAAAAAATTAAAAAATCTTCCTTATATGTATAAAGTAAAAACTTGAAAAATCCTCTTCTCAGAATTGAAAAATCCTCTTCTCTGAATTGACAAAGGCTAGAGGTTAAATATATGGTATGAGACTTTGCGAAGTGAACCTTTACCAAGATTGTTCAAATTATAGCCCGGGGGTCATTAACTTTCATTATGTACATATAGTAAAAAAATGAAAAATATTTTTGTCTGAAGGTACAAGGCATAGAGCTTTGATGTTTGCTATATTATATATATCATCTATAGGTCCTCTACCAAAGTTGTTCAAATTTTTCCCCTGGTGTTAAAATTGGCCGTGCCCGGGGGCAGTGATTCTCATTATGTACACATAGTAAAAACAGAAAATAAAACAAATGTTTTCTAAATGGGAGAAAGCTACAGCTTAGATATTTGACTTGAAATGTTGTTTGGTGGACCTGTATCAAGATTGTTTTGAATTAAACCCTTGGGTCCAAAATTTTGCCTTGCCCAAGGGGACAGTGACCTACTTTCTTGTCCTTTGATGTACAGCAATGAAATTTTGACCATGTGCACAGTTTTAGTTGTAAAATTGAATTTTGATATCAGGTGACCTAGATTTTGATGATGTGACCTACTTTCTTGTCCTTTGATGTACAGCTATGAAATTTGAACCATGTGCACAGATTAAGATGTAAAGTGAACTTTGATATCAGCTGACCTAGATTTTGACAAAGTGTCTTACTGTGTTGTCCTTTGATGTAGTCATGAAATTTAGGCTGTTTGAAATATGACCTTCACCACCAAATTCACTAGACTTGAGTGCATTGATATATTCCTACTCTGATCTTTTATTGAGTTAACAACAGATTTAACCACTAATCAGATAAGAATTAGATAGGTCAGGGATCTATGCATTATGACAATCTACAAAATTGAATAGAAAAAAAAAATCTGTTCCTACACTACTATTTAGTGTTGTATTTATGCGGTGGCATAGCATTTTTCTCAAATGCAATCTTGTTTTTTATCAGAGAGCAAAATGTTTGATATAAAGTGATTGCATATTTCAAATTATAGAATATTAAATTTTTTGTAGCCCATTGAAATACAAAATATAGCTTTGAATACTACTGAATCTTTTTTTAAGGGGAAATTTTCTTTTTCAAATCTACGAAAGCTGAATGTTAAAGTGAACTTACTCTATACCGTTGACATATAAATCTTAGTAAAGTTGTAAACCTTTAGACCACTTTAAACATGTAAAGGCATAATACTCTAGTGACACAAAGTAATAAACAAGTCCTTTTAGTAAATTTTTTGTTAGTAGAAGTGTTTAAAAGATTACACTGTAAATAACATTTATATGATAATGTGGACATTATGTAATTTATTCTCATACATACAGCACCTCCTCTGTTTTTAAGATTATTCTCCTTTTTTCCAGTTGTGAATATTGATATTGTAACTTACTTTTTGATCTTTGTAAAATATGCCCAAATTATCTCCTTTGTTTCCCTATATATTAAATCTTTTTAAATAATATCACTCTGGTTTGTTATTTCTTGTAGTGACTGATACACTTACCCTTTGAAATAATTGTAAACAGTTACCAGTATCCAACTACCAATATCTAACTTCTTGGAATTGGTTAACCATACAGTTTCCTTTTCTTTTATTAAGTGCCAAAAAGGGAAATAACTTGAAAAAAAGAAAAAACACTACAGATATGTAACTTGGTGACCTATATTCGATCTTGGCTTAGAAATTATCAAAACAAAATTTCAGACCAATTTCCATCATATTTGGATCAAAACAGAAGCCACTAGACTGTAAACAATATTTTTAGCTCCTGTGATCTAGTTTTTCATCCGAAATGAACTTGTCCGAGCAATTACCTAGACAAGCATCCTGACCAAGTTTGATGATGATTGAGGCAAAAATGTGACCACTAGAGTGTTAACAAAGTTTTTCCATATTTGGGCTGTGTGACCTAGTTTTTGACCCGAGGTGACCCGTATTCAAATTTGACCTAGAAAAAATCCAAATAAACTTTCAGACCAATTTCCAGGATATTTGGATCAATACAGTAGCCACTAGAGTATTCAAGGGATACTCGGGCAAATTAATGACAAAAATATCAAAATTAACTTTTATACTCGAATCATGCTAAAATG